CCACAAGCAGGGAGCTAGAAGGGAAGAGGAGCAGCCGGAATATGAAGCTGTGCCACCCACATGGGATCCTGCTGCATGCAAGGCAAGGATTTAGCCATTCGGGTACTGGGCTGGGCCCTTGTTTGGTTTTTTTTTAAGGATTTTATTTATTTGTTTAAAAGGCAGAGTTATATAAGGGAGGGAAAAGACAGAAAAGTCTTCTGTTCACTGGCTCACTCTTCAGTGGCTGCAGTGGTGGGCACCGGACTCAGATAAAACCAGGAAACTAAAACACCATTATTAGGGTTGCTTATGTGGGTTACAGTGTCCCAAGCAGTTAGGTCATCTTGTATTGTTTTCCCAGGCGCATTAGCAGGGAGCCAGGTGCAGAGTGGAGCCTCTGGGACTCCAACTGGTGCCCAGTTTGATGACGGGATGGCAGCATGAAATGTGGCAATTTAATCCGCTGTGCCAGAGTGCTGGCCCTGGAATTTTCCACTTCTTGGATTTCAGGAATGCATAGTTTTCCTGACGAAGTTGAGAGCCTTTTTCCTGCAGCTTGCTGGTCTTTCCTAAGATCCTTAGTGCCATTTGCTTGTGCTGCCCACACACTCGACTTTTCCTGTTTATTTTCTTTGGTTTTTGCGCCTTACTGGCGTTTCCAATTGTGATGGCGCCTCTTGGTTTAGCTGACCTGGGTCCCCCATGTTACCCTCGGGGAACCTGCACAAAAACTTTGCAGAAGGATGCCAGTACGTGCTGTTGGTTGTAACTGAGGAGGGGACATCGTGCGGAAGGGTGGCTGAGGGGCTAAGGGACCAGTGCTGATGTGGCTCTCCTCAAGAATCCAGTGGATCACATTCTTGGGTTTGACAGCTGAGACTAATGGGATCATAGAACACCAGTGGCCTAAGCAGAGGAAGATAAGACTGTCAAGCTTCTTAGCATCACCTCATGGCCCAGGGCTTTTCCGGCTAACCCACAGCTTTATCCCCGGATTGCACCAAAGCAGAGATGAGGTTTCATTCTCGGTGACTGAAATGATGATGTTGCTTGTTTTGCATATAGGCAATTTTATCCATTTTTGGAGTGGACATTAATATTCACACAGGTTTTTAATTTGCTTCATCATTATGGTAGAACCAAGATTGTGAGAAGCAGCTTAGGATATAAGTTCAGTGCCATATGGGATTGGGAAAAAAGTGCTTTCCTCATTTCTAATCTTCGTCTCTGTTTCATTTCCTTTTGGACTGTCCGTAGTTGCAGGAGAAAGCTGGACCCCACTTGACACTGATTTTCAGAAATTCATGACAGGCAAGAAAAAATACACAGAGTGTAACCAAAGGCTTTTTGACCTTGCTGTCCTTTGCTTCTATCCAGTTCACTGTGCAGGCTGCTGATTCTGCCTTCCTGCCAGTGTAGACCCTGGGAGGCAACGGCTTTGCCTCCAAGGCTTGAGTCCCCGCCACCCACACGGGAGAGCTGGATGGAGTTCCTGATTCTTGGCCTTACCCACGCCCTGCCCCCACCAAGCATTTAGGGACTTGAACCAGTGGATAGGAGTGCACTTACTCACGTGGTGCTCTCTCCCTCCCCTCCCCGTCTTTCCCCTCACCTTCTTTCCGCCTCCCTCTCCCTCTCCTCTTCCTTTCTCTCTCCCTCTTCCTACCCCCTTCCCTCCCTCCCTCTCAAATTAGAAAACAAAAACACAGCTGGCTTGATACAGTTGTTAAGTAGCAGTGATGGAAGTCTCTCCCCTTCTTCCTGTACAGATGTTATTGTGCTAGCACTTTTCCTAGGCGGCTCTCTGTGGGGTGTGGAGTGTGGCCTAGCTGATATCCTTGTGAAACAGAATGCCTGCAGTCACACACCCTCCCAGGTCCTGGAGCACCCTGGGCCCGTGCGGACACCAGAGCGTACAAGAGAATTACATCTCATTCTGACAGTTATGCCCATGTGGCTAGGAGGTGACCAGGACAGACAAGGCAACTGCTATGCCTTGTCTGTCCTGGGGACAACCTCGTGGCTTCTACTTTGCGCTGAAGTGTAACATTCCTGGGGTTGACACTTGCAGGTGGTGGCCTGTTTCCACCCACATCCAGGCCCTGTCGAACCTGCTCTGCCTTCCCCCTGCTCTGCCTACCTCGTTGTCACAGCTTGCAGACCATGGGCTTTTCCCCTAAGCTCTGAGATACAAGTGTTTCCACCGGTCTTTGTTGCCTTTGTTGCCTTTCCCGTGGGAGGCAGGTGTGGTCTCTGCTCTCTGGGTAAGACCCCCACAGCTCTCAGCAGTCAGAGGGCACACCGCATGGCTGTCAGCTGATCCACGGAGACATTCGCACATGTAAGACAGTTGCTTGTCCTCCCAGATGGTGAGCACAGCACGGATCTGTGAGACCTACGAAGAAGAAAGAATGAATGGGGAATCAGAGGGCGAGCTCCGGGGCAGCTCACAGGGGTCCGCAGCCCTGCAGAACTGACAAAACCAGAGAGGGAGGCTGTGTCTGTGTGGGAGGGGTTGGGCAAGTATCCTACAATTGCTTTAACAGCTGGGACTGGAACCACTGTGCTCAGCGCAGTAAGCCAAGAAGGTAAACCTCGCATTTTCTCTGGTATGCAGTAGTAGTAGGGAATACAGAAAAATATACAGCAAATGAAACAGACATATCTAATTTGTTTATAGGCCTTGTTCATATGCCTGTGGAACTGTGACGTTTTTACTAGTTGAATATTGTGGTAATTGGTGTGATAAACCTGTGATTATTGAGTGGACTGAGAGTATTATTTTGCAAAAAAAAATTTTTAGATTTCTTTTTATTGGAAAGTCAGATTTACAAAAAGGAGAGACAAAGATCTTCCGTTCACTGGTTCACTCCCAAAGTGGCCACAACATCCAGAGCTGAGCCAGTCTGAAGCCAGAAGCCAGGAGCTTCTTGTGGGTCCCCATTTGGGTGCGGGGTCCCAAGGCTTTGGGTCTTCCTTGACTGGTTTTTCTGGCCACAGGCAGGGAGCTGGATGGTAAATAGAGCAGCCGGGACAAGAACTGTCTTCCATGTGGAATCCCAGCGCATGCAAGGTGAGGACTTCAGCTACTAGGCTACCGTGCTTGGCCTGCAAATTTTTTTTTTTTTTTTTAAATAACTGGAACTCATCTCATGGGGCTGGTAGCAGCTAAGCCACCACTCACAGACTGACTTACCATATTGGAACACTCGGCCCAGCCCTGGCTGTTGAAGTCACTTGGGAAGAGAACCAGTGGTTAGGTCTCCCTTTCTCCCTTCTTCCTTCTCTCTCTCTGCCTTTCAAGGACGTAAATTAAGGGATCGGACGTAAATGCCATGGGATTTGTGACCTTGATGGGCATGTCCACCGTGGTACACTCGTAGGCAGAGCACAGCTGTCTGGAGGCACCCAGGCCCAGCAGCAGGAGCTCCCAGATGTTCTGTAGTGCTCACAGGAGCGTTCTGAGGTCAGGCTTGTCTCGAGAAAAGCCCTTGTCTTGTGGAATTTCTTGCAGCCATCAGCAGAAACTGTCCCTGAGATCCTGTCATTTTACAGACTTTGGCTTGGTCTTCTGATTCTTGGGAAAGGGGTCTATGACCTGTGGAAGTCTCACTGTTTGGGGTGGTCTCCGCACAGACAGAGCTCCTGCTTTGCCTGACCGCTGCCTGTGGTCGCACTTTTAGGTCCTGTGTCCTTGGCCTTCCATGGGGGCGGGTTGACGCTTCTGGTTGCCTCTCAGAACAGCAGTTCACAGCAGAGCTGCCCTCCATCTGTGGCTGACCTCCCTCCAGCAACGGTATTATCTATGTTGGGGTGTCCTGGGTGACCCCTGGACTCCCACAGATGCTGGCACAGCTGCCACGCCGCTTCCTGCGCCCTGTGCAGAGACTGGCCATGACCACAGCCCCTTGGCCTGACATCTCTGATGTCTGCTGTTTCCGGGCTGCCCTCTGCAGGGGTCTGAAAGCCTCTGTCCTGGCCAGAGCTGCACCATTGGCAAGGAGGGAGGACATTAGAGGTAGTGGCTGGGAAGTTTTCTTTTCTCCGCGTGCCTGGGAGTGCAGGCTTGCTGAGTCAGCAGGTGCTCACACGGGTGGCTCTTGGTGTCCTCGATCTGAAGATTCCTGTGGATGGGAAGGTCAATATGGCCGGACAGTTCGTCACATCCCTGAGAGTACTTGTTGTGCAAGTAACAGGAGGCACCAGGGCCAGGTGGGGCTTGTAGTGAGTGGAGAGCAGTAAGAGAGATGGGTTTGTCTCTTAGGATTGAAACTCTGGCTGGACAAAATGTCCCTACAGCATCTTCTGCTTCTGAGTGTGGGGAATGCCTGCCCGTGTCCTGGTTCCTGCCGGGCAGCCTCGGGGCAGCATGCAGTGTGGAGCCAGCTCGGGGCCACTGCAGGAGGTGACAAATCAGAAGGGAGAGAAATCAGAGAACGTGACATCTGCACAGACACCCAGTCAGAGAAGACCCTGTGGCCTGCCGTGTGGGATGGTTTCAACAGTAGGCCAAACACACCCTTGCAGAAAACAGTTAATTGACAAGAGACAAGGGACCTCAAGGAACTTGAGTAGGAATGTCTGGGAATGCAGCCAGTGGGGCGCAAGGGACAGCTAGGGGGCAGGGGGAGGACAGCAAGGCCCAGGGACTGGCCAGTGGGACCCAGATAGCAGCCAGTGGTGTCCAGGAGGCGGCCAGTGGGACCAGGGGAAAGTCTTCCGAGGGGTGTTGGAGGCTTGGTTCCTACAGCCGAGGAATTAGGCCCTCCAGACAGATTCCACAGGGATACTGTCTGATGGCTCCAGCCTGGGCCATGGCCCTTTGCTTGTCTTGGGGACCATCCCAAGGACTGTGCAGTGTCCTGGGAGTCAGGGGGCGCAGAGTTTGCCCAGAGAGAGAGTCCTTGACCACCAAGGCTGTGTGGCAGTGAGTGGGCACTGGTTTGGTCTGCACTCAGCGTGCAGCTTGCTGCAGGTGTGTGGGCTCACTGCATGCCTGTGCTGCTCTCTCTGTGCAGTGTGAGCAGTCTCACCTCCTGAGGGAGCATGAGGTCGTCCAGGAACGCACGACACTGCGGTATGAGGAGTGCATCACGGAGCTGCACAGCGTCATCGCCGAGCTCAACAAGAAGATAGACCGCCTGCAGGCCACCACCATCAGGTACTGGCCGTCTCTCCCGGAAGCTGGATCAGATCTGGGTGTGGAGGGAGCTCCTATGAACAGCAGGGATGCTTGCTTTGTCATGAAGTCATCCCTGGCTCCTGCAGCACCTCACGCTTCAGCTCGTTGTCCTGACTGTGGCCAGGCCGCAACCCTGGGAGGAGCCAGGGCAGAAGTTGTGAGGCTCCCCATACTCACCAGGGTGAAGGCATGGGCTGAGTGACGTGCACTGGAAATGAGCCCTCCTGCCTTAGACACCAGCTTCCCTCCCACCCCCTCGCACCAGCCAGGACACACTTTGTAGCAGAGTGTTTGTGTAGACGTCTGATAATCAAATGACGTTTTGCGCTCCCTTCTGGCTGCTTTGCCAACATTGGCTTGTTTTCTTCTAAGGCTTTTAAGGCAGGGGACAAGATTTGATTCATCCTTCTGTTCGTATGAGCTGGAGCTTAAACTTAGTAAGTGAACGCCTGACGGCTGTGCTCAGCATGAGCAGGGGTGGACTCGAGCCCAGCGTTTCCCTGCCTTTACTTGATTTTCTTTCCGTACAAGTTGCCATCAAGGATTTTGTCTGCTGAGTCTCCCAGATGCAGTGCTTGCTTTATTGCATCTGCCCTGCAATTCAGAGGACATGTTTGCACATTTGCCCAGCCCAGGTGAGGGTTTGTACCCTTCCCCAAGGACACTCCAACAGCAGCCGCAAGGAAAGCAAACCAGGGCTGATGGCAGGGCAGGTGCGATCGCCTCTTCCAAGAGTGGCATCCCATGTGGGTGCTGGTTTATGTGCCAGCTGCCCCACTTCTGGTCCAGAAAAGCAGTGTAATATGAGCTGAGTGCTTGGCCCCTGCCGTGGCCCAGCCTGGAAGACCCAACTTTCCCGGCTGCTGGCTTTGGCCTGGCCCAGCCCGGGCCGTTGCTGCTGCTTAGGGAGTGAACCAGCAGATGGAAGAGCTCTGAGTGTCTCTCCCTCCCTCTCTCTCTCTCTGTGACTCTGACTTTCAAATAAATGTTGATATTTTTAAAAGGCAAACAGTTGGCACGTGCCTTCTGCGGCGTAGACCCTTGGCTGCTGAGTGTTTGCCCACCCCTCGGTAAAGGCAGTTGTGGAGGCAGCAGTGTGAAGCACTCTGTGGAAGTCAGGTTTTGTCCCAGCTCTGAGGAGGAGAGTGCTGGTGGGCATTGGTTTTCTGGGAGGAAATATGGAAAATTTTGCACAGAGCTGGAGCCATGCAATAAATTTCATGTTCTAATTTAGAACCTCAAGGTTTTTAAATTATATCCTGGTCTCCTTAGTGATTGCAAGCTGGAACTGCAGGGACATGAAGACTTTTCAGCCCCAAGAGGTGATTATAGCACATTTAAAGGAGCCCATTGGGGATGTTGGGGGGGTGTGTTTTGTTTTTAGATGATGTTTACATAGTCTGTCAGGTGGGAAGGATTTAGTGTTAGGGAGAAGTGGGTGTGATCACTGTTTCCAAGCTTTCTATTTCTTCTTCCTGATTCAGAGGGTGAGGGGAGAGAAAAGGGGATAGGCCATATCCAGCCTCCCCACCATCCCAGTACCTGAGGATGGGGGAGGGCCACCTGATACCAACCCAGGGTCTCAGTGGCACATGTTCTGAGGGCTCTGCCCAGTGGATGTGATAGCTTTGAACTGCTGTTGATCTCGCTGATCCCTGGATGAGGAATCCCTTCCAGTGTCCATTGGCTGCTGCCATCAACCTAATGATCTCCAGTTGCCCGGATGTTTGCTGTCTTCATGTGGCTGGGGTAGTTGTCCATATACTCTGTTCTCTGTTCTCTGCTGTGGTACTGGGTGTTCCCTGCAGGCTCTAATGAGCTGACATGTCCTCCATGTGCACCATGGTCTGCCATCCAGCATTCCATCTTCTCCTAGGTGGGCTCATGGACCTGAGGCTCACGTATACAGCACCACTATGCAGGAGGGCCCTTGGCCCTAGGCCATGTGACCCAGGACCCAACAGAACCCTCCTATCCCCAGAGCTCACAGACCCAGGCCACTTACCCCTGGGGTTCATGGATTCCAGGGGTTCCCTCACTATGGAAGGCTCAAGGGCCCGTCCATCCCTGGGGTTCACGGACACAACATCTACTTCCCAAGTGGGTGTCTCAGCAGCCCCTAGTCCTGGCAAATCTGTAACTTGGAGACATGTTCCGCTTCTGAAAAGTAGAAGCTGAAAGCCAGTGGACACAGTGAGTTGTGAAAAAAGAAAATGCATCTTACACAACCTGAAAAACTCAGCTTCAAGATGCTTAAATTGATTGTACTGACCAAACTTCCTCTGATTAAATCCAGTGAGCTTGTTGGTCTTAAACATGTAATGGTGCCTTAAATTTATAGAGAGAGGGACCTGGTGCAGCAGCCTAGCAGCTAACATCCTTGCCCTGCATGATCCAGGATCACATATGGGCACTGGTTCTAATCCTGGCAGCTCTGCTTCCCATCCAGCTCCCTGCCTGTGGCCTGGGAAAGCAGTTGAGGACGGCCCAAAGCCTTGGGACCCTGCACCCACGTGGGAGACCTGGGAGAAGCTCCTGGCTTTTGATTGAGCTCAACTCCAATCACTGTGGCCACTTGGGGAGTGAGCCAAGAAATAGAAGATCTTTCTCTCTGCCTCTTCTCTCTGTAAGTCTGACTTTCCAATAAAAAAAATAAATAAATGAAAAAAAAAATATATCGGGAAATTGCATCTGTACAGGCAATTCTCTGAATTCTACTTAGCTTCTTTCTTTCTTTATTTTATAGTGCGTGCCCTCCTTGAGGGTTCTCCCGCATGGCTGGGGTAGTATGGGATGTGCCCCAGTGGCAGCAGGTTCTCCCTCATGGCGGGGTCGGCACAGGCTGTGTCCTCTGCATCCTAGGTGAAGCATCTTCAGTCCTGCCATGCCGTGAGTTGCTGAGGCCTGAGACCCGCTGAGCTGGGCATGGGCCCACAGCTGCAGAAACCACGTGTCCTGGGTGGGAGTGACTGGGTCACGGCTCAGGGGCAGCGCTCATGTCCAGAGGAGTGCCCTGTCACTCCAGCCTAGGCCAGAATTAGGAATTCACCCGCGTTTTGGTTCCTCAGCCTGAGTCGTCTCCTGTGGTTTTTTTTTTTTTTTTTTTTGGAAGATTTATTTATTGGAAAGGCAGATATACAGAGAGGAGGAGAGACAGAGAGGAAGATCTTCCGTCTGATGATTCACTCCCCAAGTGACCGCAACGGCTGGAGCTGAGCCAATTCGAAGACAGGAGCCTCTTCCAGGTCTCCCACGTGGGTGCAGGGTCCCAAAGCTTTGGGTCTTCCTTGACTGCATTCCAGGCCACAGGCAGGGAGCTGGATGGGAAGCGAGGCTGCCAGGATTAGAACCGGCACTGGCACCCATATGGGATCCTGGCACTTTTGAGGCGAGGACTTTAGCCACTAAGCTATGGCGCCAGGCCTGTCTCCTGTGATTTTATCCTGATACTTACTGGTCCTGTGGTGTAGCAGTTGGCCCTAAGTCCCCCTTTCTGCCCGACATACTCTTCATTCTCTTTCCTTGAGCTCTGTCCTCCCAGGCGCTCGGCCTGGCTTCCTGTGCTGGAGTGGCAACGCTCAGTCCTGAGTAGTCCTCTGTGCTGTGTGCGTGACGTCTAGCCCTCCTACTTTTTGCGGAACACCTCTCAGAGCAGAGCTCGTGTCCCAGGATGTCCCTGCTCTCCGGGACTCCAGCTGTGCCTTGGCTGATCCGACCTGTGTGCTGCATTGCCACCGTAGCCTGCCCAGAACCTCTCTGTCGCCTGTCCTGTCCTGAGGAGTAAGATATAATGAGCAAAAGTAAATCCCAGATGACACATCTCTGTCCCTTCCTCTGGCATTCAGACCTCATCTGCCGTTCGAAGTTCTTAATGTCTGTGTCAGATCTCGTCTGGATGGGATTCCAGCGTGGAAGAGCAATTCAGAATTCCCCTCGCTCAGCTGCCGGCAGAGTCGGGAATGAGTCTGCCCTTCCGTGTGACACAGGACAAGGGGAGGTGAACTTGAAGAGGCACAAATTTGGTTGTCAGTTATTACTTGAAGAATATTTATTTAAAAGGTTTATTGAAAGGCAGAATTTAGAGAGACTGAGAAGGAAAGATCTTCTGTCTGCTGGTTCACTGCGCAGAGGGTCACAGTGGCTAGAGCTGATCCCACCCGAAGCCAGGAGCCTGTCTCCTATGCGGGCACAGGGTCCCGAGGACTGGGCCCATCCCACCCGAAGCCAGGAGCCTGTCTCCTATGCAGGCACAGGGTCCCGAGGACTGGGCCCATCCCACCCGAAGCCAGGAGCCTGTCTCCTATGCAGGCACAGGGTCCCGAGGACTGGGCCCATCCCACCCGAAGCCAGGAGCCTGTCTCCTATGCGGGCACAGGGTCCCAAGGACTGGGCCCATCCTCCGCTGCTTTCTCAGGCCTCCAACAGAACAGGATCAGAAGTGGAACAGCCAGGACTTGAGCTGGTGCCAAATGGGATGCCAGCCCTGCAGGCTTAGGAACCTGATGTGTCCCCTCGCAAACCCCACTGCGCGGGGACCTGATGTGTCACCACGCAAACCCCACTGCACGGGGACCTGACGTGTCCCCTCGCAAACCCCACTGCAGTAGGTTCTTTGCAGAGAACTGAAAAGTAGACAGTCCCTCCCTGTATCTTAAATGTCTCTGTTCAGGACACATGTCGGTGAGTGTGAGACTGAACACAGCTCAGCAACACCAAGTCAGCATAGGGCTAGCGACAGTGAGTAGGCAGGGCAAAGACTAACTGGCCCTTAGCATTGGATCACGGTCCAGGGAAGGACAGGAGTGTGCACCCACAGGAAGGCGGACTCAGGGACGGGTCTAGGGAGATGCTGCCGCCTGGATGCCTCCAACTCCACAGTACTGCAGGGGAAGGCACAGCGCTTCTGCCGGCCTTTTCCTTTTCTGGCCACTGTCCTCCTGGCTGGGGAGAAGGGCTCTTCACGCCGCGCAGTGTGGGCAGGCCTGTCCTTCAGGCGCGGTGGCAGATTCTTTCCTTGGTGGTGCTGAGTTCAGCAGTTGGTTCCGTAATCCCAGGTTAGTTGTGTGACCTCTCGGTGCTTTGGTTATCTTTCTTACTCAGTTTACCCAAACTTCTGGGTTTTGTTTTGTTGAAAATTTATTTTTATCTGAAAGGCTGATTTTACAGAGAGAAGGTCTTCCATCTATTGGTTTACTTCCCCAAATAGCCACAATGGCCAGAGCTGAGCTGATCCAAAAGCAGGAGCCAGGAATTTCTTTCCATCACATGTGGGTGCAAGGATCCTCCACTGCCCTCCCCAGGCTATTAGCAGAGGGACACTAACCAGTGCCCTGTGGGATGCCAGTGCTGTTAGCAGAGGGCCAGCATGCTGTGCCAGCCTCAAAGCCTCTGTTGTGCTGGGGTAAAATGGTCATTTTGTAGGATCTTTTTGCATTGTCCTGGTTTTCACCACCAGAATTTGCAGATGATATGCTTGTGGAAGGCACGTTTTCCTCTGGAGAGACGAGCCATCGCTTGGTGAGTCACTGGTCCCTAGAGCCATCTTGTACTGCTGACGCTGCGTCTGTGGCTGGGCCTTCCCCAGGTGGGCACCCAGGCTGTGGCACCCAGGCTGTGGCACAGGACCCTCAGAACTCAGCTCAGCACCTTGCGTTTGTGGAGCAGCAGTGGTTTTACTTCACGCATGTGGTTGCTCTTGACAGGCCAGTGCTCCCAAATGATGCAGGAAGCCCCGAGCCGTGTGTCTGCTGGGAACACAGCCTCCACCCAGGAAGGAGGCGGGAGACAAGGGCCAAGTGCAGCTTCATGATTTTCCAGGGTCGCTGGGAGGAACAGCAGGGCAGACCAGACTTTCTCGCCTTTCAGTTCAGTTTAACCTTCTATGTCATCCTGTGCCACAGGCTCTCCCCGCTAGTCTCTGGAGCTCACGGTTTACCTGTGTTTGCTGTTTGACCTTCCTTGCTGACCTTGGGATGCTCGCTGTAGTTAGCCAGGGAGCAGGTGTATTCAGCTCAGGCGCTTTGGGTCAGCGAGACAGGTGCTCAGTACATCACACCTGATCACTTGTTTGTTTATTTTTTTTTTTAAGATTTGTTTATATGAAAGTCGGGGTAGAGAGCAGGAGACATAGATCTTCCATTTGCTGGCTCCCCCCAAAAACCACAGTGGCCCAAGCTGGACCAGGATCAGGAGCCTAGAACTCAGAGTCTCCCACTTGGGTGCCGAGGAACCCAGGTACTGGGATACCCTCCATGCTTTGGTGTTGTAGGTAGCGGCTTAGCCCACTGTGCCCCCCATTTTTTTGGTGAGCACTGGAGGGCCTGGTGACGTTCACGCCGCCTCTGCATTCGCACGCATCCCACGTCATGTTTCTACCATCCAGCCCTCATTGTTTGTCCCTCCAGCAAACCTTACTCTTTCCTAATCAGGGCGCCCTCGTCAACAAGTGGCCCATGTGCCGCACTGGCCGCCTGCTTGCCCCTGTGTCCACTCAGTTTCCAGCAGCAGTGACCACTTGTTCCTCTCAGCTGAGCATGCTCCCGCCCCTCTGAGCAGTGGCCTTGCTCCTGCACCTTCCGAATACCCCAGCACCTACTTGTCCTAAGGCACAGCTCCCGTGCTCCTCAGGGGAACTCTGCCACCACCACGGAGGGGCGTCCACGCGCTCTGCCTGTCTCCTGCACAGCAAGCTTCCTCGATTAGAGTTGGTGCTGAAGGGCCTGCGTGATAGCCTAGTGGCTAAATCCTCGCCTTATGTGCCGGGATCCCATATGGGCACCGGTTCCTGTCCCAGCTGCTCCCTGCCTGTGGCCTGGGAAAGAAGCCGAGGATGGCCCAAAGCCTTAGGACCCTGCACCCATATGGGAGATCTGCAAGAAGCTCCTTGAACCAGGAGTCAGGTCAGCTCAGCACTGGTTGTTGAAGCCACTTGAGGAGTGAACCAGCAGATGGACGATCTTCCTAAACTTTCTCTTCTCTGTAGATCTGCCTTTCCAATAAAAATAAATCAATCTATTTTTTTTAAAAAAAGGTGGTGATTGTTAGGACAGCATGTACCCAGCCCTTGCTCTGCTTGTCTGGGTTCTCGCTGGCTGGGAGCCTTGGTTTGCGTGTCATGACACCGAGAGGACACGGCTGGCGTGCTCTTGTCTGTCGCTGTGCTCTCCGCTCAGCAGGAACTGTGTCTGCAGGAACTGTTTCCTTCTCCCACCCCTTTCCTGTCCACTCCCTTAGAAAGTTCATCTGAAGAATCCCAAGAAGTCAGTTAGTACAGAGCAGGATGTCTGGGGAAGTGTGTGTCTTGGAAGCTGCCCAGCCAGGACGGTGTAGCGGCGGCTGCCAGAGGCGCTACAGATGCCGTTTTAAGCAGGGCAGCAGCATTTGTCGCTTGCCGCCTGGCCTGTAAGACCGTCAGCACGTCTTCCTGTGCCAGTCTCCCATGAACCGAGAGGAGGGTTTCAGGTGCCAAGGCGAGGAGAGCTGGCGGGGCAATGCACAGAGCAGACCCCACGACACCCTCGGGTGACCCTCTACCTGCACCTCATTGCTGTCAATCATCTCAAATGTCTCATGCGTTTGCCACTCCTGTTCCTCATTCATACCTTGCATGGTAAAGGACTTTATAACTGGTTAAAAAAAGCTTTCCCAAATTGAGGGGTAGTGTTAATTAAAAATACCCTATAAACCAGGGCTTATTTTTTTAAGATTTGCTTATTTGAAAGGCAGTGTTACAGAGAGGAGAGAGCTAGCATTGTGCCTCTTGGTCTGTGTGAGTAAGGGGCCGCCCTGCCAGTCTCTGGGCCCCAGCACCCTCTCCCAGAACAGAGCCCACGTGCCAGAGCCCGAGCCATTGTATGTGGCTGCCATTCCTCAGGCCTTCAGCTGCTCTGCTCACCCAGACCTGCAAAGCAGCAGCTGTCTTGGTTCTGTCTCACTTCAGAGTTGGGGAGTTGGGAAGGCTGATCCTCGATGTCCTTGAAGCAGAAAGCTCCAGGGGGGTGACAGACGAGCCATGCCCAGTACACCCGTGTGTGCACATTTGGATGCAGATGCGGCTCATGGACCTGGTCTCGAGGGCATCACGGTCTGTGGGGCCTGGGCAAGGTGTCTGCCTGTTCTCTGGGCGTCTGCCCTCGTCTTCCACGCTGCCGGGAGAAGCTGACTGTGCTGTCTTTCTCAGGGAGGAGGACGAGTACTCAGAATTGCGCTCCGACCTGAGCCAGAGTCAACACGAGGTCAACGAGGACTCACGGAGCGTGGACCAGGACCAGGCCTCTGTCTCCGTCCCTGAAAACCAGTCCACCGTGGTCACGGCCGATGTGGGTGAGTGCACCCAGCACGCCCACCCAGCTGGGGCATGGCTGCAGGCATATTATAGGACTCCTGGGGCCGCGGGGAAGCCTGTATTACAGTCTAACTGTCCGAGGGGTTGGTTGAGTGGAGGAAAGCACAGCCGTTCTCAGTGCCTTACATGCTACTCCGATGGTTGTCGTGAAACTAAAGAACCAAATTAGCTCTCTGTCCGAAGCAGAGCGTGGTGCAGGCAGACGCCCAGTTTGCAGAGGCAGTAATGTCGGCGCGGTAGGGAGGAGGCAGCAGCAGGTGCAGAGAGGGCACAGCATTGGGTAAGCAGAAGGCCCGAGTCCCTCCCGTGCTGCTGCTTCGTGAGGACGGGCACTGCCCGGTTTCTTTAAAGATCTCTGCTTTGTGGCACCTGGCCCCTCTTTCTGTCTGTGAGCTGCCCAGGGCTGTAATTCTGTCTGTAATTCAGGAGCCATCATTCTGTCCCCTCTGAGCTGCTCTCCCAGGTGTGATCTGGGCCCCTGGTAGCCCCAAGCAGGTGGAAGGGTACAGCAGACAGCCCACACCGCAGGAAGCCTGGGTCTGCCTTCTTAGCCTGGCCGGGATTCACACGGCCTACACCTGGCTTCACTGGATGTTTTGTCGTCAGTTGACTTTGCCTTGAATTCAGTGAACAGAGGCACTAACAAAAGCACAACACTTCACCAAGGTGTTTAGTGTGCTCGCCCTCAGCACCCGGCTCTCCCCTCAGCAGCAGCGTTAGAACAATCCTGCTCTCCAGCTCCCTCTATCTGGGAAGGTTACATATAGAAAACACTGCAAGAGGGGAGGCAAGCACACACACCCCAGGGTCACTGCCAGCACCCACACGCAGAAGGCTGGTCCTGGGGTCATGGACCTGCCGAGTCCAGGAGGTCACCCACGGCCTGATGGAGGGCAGGGCCCCACGATGTCTGATCGTCTGCTTTCCCAGGCCATGAGCAGGGAGCTGGAAGGGAAGTGGAGCAGCCTGGATATGAACCAGTGCGCATATGGGATGCCAGTGTGTGCAAAGCAAGGACTTTAACCGCTAGGCTACCACACCGGGCCCAATACTTCTGTTATTTTGTGTTTTGTGCTATTTTTTCAAGCAGCTGTTTCAGTGTTATGTAAATGCTTTAAATTCCATTCTGACGATCTCTTTTTGGTGGGTTTCATTAATGCTTAATGTTATTACAGAGACGCTTGACTGCAGATCTTCTGGGTTACTGTTTGTTTCATTTTGTCCCTTCTTACATGTTTTCATTCCCCCATTCTTCCTTTTTTTAGATTAGCTAAATTATTTAACATTCCATTTTCATTTGTCCACTGATTTCTCACTGGTCTTTGTGGTGGTTCCAGGAGTTAGAATTTGCATACCTTTTCAAAGTCATTACTCCTCATTTAATTTTGATTTCTGTTCCTGCTGGTGAGTTGTGCTTCCACTTGGGTGATGTGCCTTGAGCTCAAATGCCCCCAAGGTCCTTTTGCTGGAGTCTCGTGCGGTGCCCTGGCTCTGTGCGGTGCCCTGGCTCTGTGCGGTGCCCTGGCTCTGTGCGGTGCCCTGGCTCGAGGTGTCTGCCCACCCCGCGCACAGTGGCGGGTCCGTCACCAGTGGTCGCCCCTCTGTGGAGCAGAGCTCACCTGCTGTGGGATGCAGTGGGATCAGGAGTGAAGGCCCTTCCTACTGTCCAGGATGCTGATCACGCCAAAGGAGCCATGCTGGTGTTCCGGCTCCTAAGACGTGCAAGTACCAACTCAGCAAGGCCCCGCCTGGCCCCTGGCCCCCAAGCAGTGGCTGTGCCACTCCCTCAGAGGCCTTTGCAGTGGTGGCCCTCAAGGTGGGGTCCACATGAGGAAGAAGGCATAGTGTGTACAGAGCATGCTGCTGCAGCTGAATTGAGGTCTGTGCTGAACATACAATGATGTGAAGCCTGTGTTGGCTCATTTAACACCCCGTGATCCCTGCCCTGTTCTGTGCGGTGAGCAAGACCAGAGTCCCCTCTTCCTTGGAGTTCATGTTTAGTAGGGGGAGATAAACACGTGAGTCAGATCAGATAAAGATAATTACAGTGAAGAAAATTGGATAATGGGCCGAGGAGGAGGGGACACTCCCGGCTTTGAAGAGGGAGAGCCTGCTGAGGAGGTGAGAAAACCGAAGAACCAAGTGGAAATCCATGTGAGACACAGGAAGTGGCGAGGAAAGGAGCTCCTGGGCAGACAGGTGTTCTAGCACATTCCGGGGATAGCCGGAAGTGTGAACAGAGCCCAGTGGACCCAGGGAAGGGTGCAGGGAGAATGGGGAGGACGCAGCGTTTCTCACTCCCTGCATGGTTGGAGTTAGCAATGGACTTGTGAGCTCCCGCGAGCGAGCCCCACCCCCAAGAGGCTGTGTCCTAATTGGTGCAGAGTGTGGCTTGCGTCTTGGGGGTGCGGACCTAAAGCTCCCTGGGGAACTCCACCCTTGGGAACTCCACGGGGCAGCCCGGCTGAACATGAGCAATGCTGGGTTTCACGGGCTCTGGTAAGGAGTTTGGCCTTGGCTGATGGCGGTGGAAGCCTCTGGAGGATTGGTCGGAATCCAGTCTCAGAGGCTCCCTTGGGCTTTGGTGTGAAAGAAGCCAGCTGCTGCCAGGGTCGCAGTTGAGGCGGCCGATGGCTTGGTCGCAGTGGGCTCTGAGGGGGTCGTCCGAGGAGGTCAGTTTGGGGTAAGACTGTGGTCGTAAGATGGGTTGGATGTAAAATGTGCAGCAGAAGGGCATCGGAGTAGCCCCTGAGACAACCTGAGTAATGGGCGTCCGGGTGCCATCCAGAGATGGGAGAGACGGAGAGGAGCAGGTTCAAGTGATGGGTGGATGTGTGATTCGATGTCTTGGTTGGAAGGACCGTCTTCTCATTGACAGGCGGCCCAGTAGGCACCTGCACAGACCCCAGGCTGGGTTTGGGGCAGGGGTATGCTTTGAGAGATTGCCTGTGGTCCCAATACCTGAGTGGCATGACCAAATGCAGAATTCAAAATAGCATATTAGGAAGCTCATGTTTGAGTTTAAGAGAACTTTCCCCACAGTGAGAATTGTCTTCCAAGGCCTAACTTGAAGTTTTCATTCCCTGACCAGACTCTGGATGTCTGGAAATTAAAGACAGGGACAAACCAGACTTTTGATTCAAAGGTTCAAGCGTCAGATCATTCGAATTAGCTAGAAAACTATGCTTGGTTCCTTGGGCCACTTGTTACTCTTTTGTGCTGGGAGGACGCTAAGTTGTGACGCAAATCGATTGGTTAATTGGGGCTTGAGGCAAGTCCAGATTTTTAAACTAGTCTAAGGACAGGAGCTGCTTCGCAGGCGGCTTTGCTTTCTAAGATGCCTGTTGTCTCTGCTCGTTCCGGGACTCTGACACGTTTGCTTAGGAAAGTGAAGAGCTGCTCTCTGCAGTCTGCTTGTCTGAATGGCTGCACCAGAAAGTTCCACAGGAGGCTTTGGAGGGTCGTCAGCCCTCGGCATGGCCAGAGAACCAGGGCTGTGACTGCTCGGAAGCCCCTTTGGAACGCACTGCACTCCAGCCCGGGCCTGGGGGCAGGGCCAGCGGTCCTGAGGTCGGGCTGGCCAGCAGTGAGGTTGGACTTGTGCAGTGCCCTGGTGGCTCCGCTGACTTGAAGGAGCCGCTCCAGGGAGGTGAAGCCAGCGGCGTCCATCCCCTGCCTGCCCGCCTCTCACACTGTCCTTGGCTCACAGACACCTGCAGCGACCTGAACTCGGAACTGCAGAGGGTGCTGACGGGGCTGGAGAACGTGGTCTGTGGCAGGAAGAAGAGCAGCTGCGGCCTGTCGGTGGCCGAGGTGGACAGGCACATCGAGCAGCTCACCACAGCCAGCGAGCACTGCGACCTGGCCATCAAGGTAGGCACAGCACCCTGACCCCGGAGCAGCAGTCAGGTCCCCATCCCCAGGTCGGGCTGTCGCTGGAAAGCCGTGGGGCTCAGGGAGGTGTGGGAGTCCTGGCTGAATTCCTCTACAAGATGTCTTGATGTCGGTATAAAGATGTGAGGCTCTGCAGCCGAGAGGACGGGTTACTGGGAGGCTGTGGGGCTACAGGACTGCACCACGTTGCTTGGCTCCGGTTGGTTGTCGTGCCCTCTGAGGTTGCAAGCTGTGCTTAGAAGCATGCTTGTAAGGCCTTAAGGCCTCCATTCGCGGTGCTGACACGGTGGACGGCTCGGGCCTGGTTCAGTCATGGACCCCCAGCGCCAGGACTGGATGTACGCCATTCCCTGTTCATGCTCTCACCGCACTGCCTGGGGAGGAGCCGCTGAGGAATTCTCCCAACTCGTCGTTGACCAGTGGCCAGCTGTGTTCTCTTAGCACAGTCGCTGGTGTCTGTGTTCCTTCTCCATAGTCACCTTACCTCGGGGGCGTCTAGGCTGGATTTCTTGTCTCCAGGTAGAGCGTGATGCACGTGTGTGGCGCAGCTGCTTCTGCATCCGGGAGCTGGCTGGTCCCCAGTGCACACACAGCTGCTTCTGCATCCGGGAGCTGGCTGGTCCCCAGTGCACACACAGCTGCTTCTGCATCCGGGAGCTGGCTGGTCCCCAGTGCACACACAGCTGCTTCTGCATCCGGGAGCTGGCTGGTCCCCAGTGCACACACAGCTGCTTCTGCATCCGGGAGCTGGCTGGTCCCCAGTGCACACACAGCTGCTTCTGCATCCGGGAGCTGGCTGGTCCCCAGTGCACACACAGCTGCTGTGGGCAGGGTACAGACAAGCAGTCTCTGGTATTGCTGTCTCTGGTGTCACTCAGGTGTGGCCACAGCCCACAGAGCGAGATTGAAGGTAAGGACCCTGCTAACCGCCAAGGGCTTCGCAGGGCCAAGGCAGAGTTGAGGAGGGTCGGAATCTCAAGGAAAGACACAGCTTAGCTGGGGCACAGCAGTAAGTTCTGGGACCTCACACTGGCAGCTGAGAGAGGTGTCCTCATGTCATTAGTGTCTTAACCCCTGTTCACTACCTGCCTCCTGAATCCTCCCTCCTGTTACAAAACCCGTTGGCTCACACTTCCTCTCCCCAGGGTGAGCAAGCAGTCGGTTCCTTTGTGTTTCTTCTTTTCCATTGATGCTGTGTTTAAAGGAAACGGGAAGAGCTCGCCAAGTGTACATTCCCTTCTTTTTGGTGCGTAGCTGCTTAGAAACCAACTCCCTGCTTAGAAACCTCCACCAGGCACTTCCTCTGTTTCTGTGTCACTGAAGCTGAGTCTCTCTCTTGACTGAGCCTCATTCGCAGTGTCTGAGTTCCGACCAGACAACAAAAGCCGGCGATGAGGCAGTGCCCTGTCCGACTGCCGAGTTGGCAAGTGGGAGGCCTGTCACTGTGGAAACTTGGAGCTAAGTGGGGGTGCAGTTTGCAACCTTGTGTTGGGTTCGTGTCATATGGAGCGGCAGTTGGCCTCTGCCTGCTGTGTACCTTCTCCACCCATCCTGGAGTTGAAATGAAGGGCTGGGACTGGGACAGTTGTGTGTGGGACCATGATGGTCATGCAGCAGAAAGGACTGGCTATGCTTTTCCTGCTCTGAGGGCTGCTGCACAGCACAGGTGCAGTGCTGGCACATGACAGAAACCAGAGACGGGATGATTTGGGGTGTTGCTGCTTTCCACAGCCGTGGTTTACAGTAAGGTAGCTCTAGAACCCACCCACGGTGGGCACCTGCTCCTGCCCCGCCGGCTTTCTGCCAGCCTCTTTCCAGGGTGATCCACGTGGCTTCTCTCTGCTTCCACGTTTTGCAGACAGTTGAGGAGATCGAGGGGGTGCTTGGCCGGGACCTGTACCCCAGCCTGACCGAGGAGCGATGTCGGTGGGAGAAGGAGCTGGCCAGGCTGAGGGAAGAGAACGAGAGCCTGACCGCCATGCTGTGCAGCAAGGAGGAGGAGCTGACCCGGACCAAGGCGACCATGAACGCCGTACGGGAGGAGCGGGACCGGCTGCGGAGGAGGGTGAGCACGCCCGGGCCAGGCCGCTTCGGGCTGGGACACACAGCAGGGCACTCAGCAAGGGATGGCACTTGTGCTCCTGGCAGGCCCCACCCCTTACTTGTTATGAAATGTGTCTTGAAAGTATTGATTTGTAGAGGTAAGACTTCAAAGATTGCTTTTTCTTTATAATCTTAACTCTTATATGAATGGTAAATGCTACCAAAGCAGAGATTCTCCAACTGCCGTCTGGGTGTGTGCAAATTCCCCCAGCTCAGCTGAAAGATGATTTCAATTTGAAAATGTATAAAGAATTTTCCCTTTTTCATTTTCTCTATAAAATATGCATTAATATTGTAGGTAAGTACTCTCACCTACACTAAACCTAAGGTAAAATGTCCTATTTCTCCTAGTGTAAAATTACTAAAATTAGAATACTCCTGTGGTTGTGTCTGCGTGCGCGTCTGTGTGGTGTGTGCGTGATTCAAAAGGTATACAGGAAGTGGAATTAAAAGTTCATTTTGATGCCAAAAACTTAGAAATCCATGCATGTGATAGGCCCTTAAAAAGTTGCAAGAAGTGCATATTATTTAAAAAAAAAAAAAAGAAAGAAAGAAAAAGAAAAAATCCCATATGTGGGTTTTAGGGGATTTTCAGCACTACGTCTTTTTTTGAGAAACAAAGAACTAGGGATCTGCGGATCACACCCCCAATGCCTGCAGCAGCCTCTCGTCAGATGTTGGGAGGGCAATCCCAGCCCACCGCAGGGCTGGCAGGGTCCACGCGCTTGCGGTCATGGTGGCCTAGGTGAGGTGCACACGGGAAGCATTGCAGTGTGGGGCCCGGGCTTCCTGACCATTGGGCCACAGGCTCCCCCGAGGTTGACCAGTAACTTTGTTTTTGCATGGATTTTGAAGTGCCCTCATGTGTACCTACATGTGTGTGCCTGTGTCTGTGTGTGACTCCTGAACTCCTGCTGATACTGGCACAGCTTTGAGAATACTTTGTCGGGCAGACTTGTTCCAGCACTAAGCTTTCCAAAGGTGAAGTTATCTGTCCGATTGTGTGATTGAGAGAGGGCAAAGCAATGAATTCCTCAGGCACTTTCACTTGGTAGACCTGCTCTGTTTGTGAATCTTGGCTGTATCAGAAGCGTGCCTTCCTGTGCTCTGAGTGGTAAGTTTACACACAAAAGCAGGATCAAAGAGAGGCAAACACATTTGGCAGCTCTCACGGCCCTTCTGCATTGCTTGTTCTTCCCTACCTCTAAATTACACCTTCGAAGTCATGTTCCCAGTAAAGTCAGCAGTGTAAGCCGTTGTTCTTAATCCATGTACAAGTATTCTTCTCCACCATTAGGTCTGAATATGGAAGAAATTATTATTTTTGAATGCTACCAACTCTTCTTCAGCGATGGTTGATATCATAATTAAAAGGCTCATGATTTTGTTTGCTCCCACGTGGGTAAGCGCGTCCCCAGAGCTCAGCTGTATTGGATGCCACGTGTCACACTAGCTTAGTCAGCAGAGGCTTTGCCTGGCGAGAGTCCCCCAGCACCCAGGCCGCCCCACCTGGCAATTCCTGACCCGCCTCCCTGATTGTTGGGAGGCATGCCCTAATTAGGCTTGCTCTGAGTGTGCTCTGACGGTGCAGGCTTATGGAGGAGCGTGGGTCCTGGGCGTAATTACATATTGTGACTTGGAATGAATTTCCTCTTCCAACTGGAATTACTGAAGCACCGTCAGCCCGAGATTAGGATGAGAAAGCTGTCCTCCCACCTCCTGACTACAATGTCTCTTCCAGCTAGCTGCAGGGCTCACTGTCAACAAATGGCAGCGTGGTGTGCTGAACTAGACCCGGTGCAGTAGCTTTGAACGTGACCTACCAAGTCACCAAGAGCCCCTGGCCAGTCACCTGGCCTTTCTCAGCCTTCATTTACTCTGCCAGAAAGTAGAAATGATGTGATTCCCAGTGGAGGAAGCCTCAATGAGATGTGTAGAGTACTTGGCACGTGGGAAAGCTCCAAATCCTCACAGTAGCTTGGGGAGGGGGGTAAAAGCCGGAGTTAACTATTGGACGGCTTATATCTGTGCCTCATTTATCTCCAAATAAGAGAATATTAGGCGTATTTCTGTTTATTTCTAGACAATTTTTTCAAAGAATGGGTTTCAAAGAAGTTTTTAGGTAATCGAATAGCATTTTACTAGATTTCCAATTGCGACGGACCGGCTCGGCCAGGAGCAGTCAGTCCGACAGGAACAGGACCCCGGGACGGTGGGCAAGGATTCGGCGAGTGACAGACAGACAACTCGAGGCAGTTGTGTCTGAGTGCGTTTGGAAAAGCAAGGCATCAGCTTATATACAGTAGATGATTGCAAAGGGACATTTTCCGTGTTTATTCATGTGGTTGCATTTCTACAATTATTCCAGGGAGGTGAGCGGGGCTGCTGGGATTGTTCTCACACAGCCTGGTGACAGACTGCGGCTGCAGTTTTAATCATTAAGCAGTTCCTTACGTTGGTTTTAATATTAACCTATTTTTCTTGGTTTTTTCTTCCTGTATGGTTTTTTTAAGCTATAGATCTGTACTATAATCTTCTTTTTAGGAATTCTCAAAAATAGTCCCAGGTAGGTTTATTAAAGCTAGTGACTTGATAGTTTTTATCTCAGACTGCTTGCTGTCCTTGTCCAGTCTCCCGTCAGAAGGCTTCATGGAACTATAAAGGAACATCGAGCCTTTGCCGCACATAAATAACATTATCCCAGCCATAAAGATAAGAGCAAAGAGAGTACAGCCAGGAACGCCGAGACCGCTGGAGACGCAGCCGAGTCCAGGAGGCATCCTTCCTGGGAGCTTCCGCCTCGGCCTGCTCATTTCTCACCCGGGCTCCACTGGAGGTGGCGTCACATCCAATGTTAAAATACTTCCGCACACCACCTTCTACCTAGCATATTTTTCCACCTTCATTTTGTTTAAAAGCCGGAGTCAGAGGAAACAACAGAAAAAGAGAGAGCATGTTCCATTTGCTGGCTCACTTTCTAGATGCCCATGATAGCTGGGACCGGGCCACACCACCGCTGGCCCGTGGGACTGCAGCCAGCTCACCCCTGTGGGTGTGGGGACCTGAGTGCTTGGCAGCTCCTGCTGCCTTCCAGGGTGCACATGAATGGGGAGCTGGGACTCAACCAGGCCCTCAGAGCAGGCTGCGATGTGAGACGCTGTGTGGGGTGCAGCCTTGGCTGCCACCCCGTGCCTGCCCCACACCCAGTGCATTGCGAGTCTGCCCTTTGTCACTGCCTCTGTACTCATGGTATCACTTCCGCAGAGCTGGAAACACGATTCTGTGGTGCCATGGAGCGAGGAGGGTCCAAATCCACAGCGCATCAATGTTGTCATAAAAGCATGGGGCCACATGTTTTTCTTTGCCCACACTGACAATAAAATTTTAACTGATCAGATCAATAGATTGTGCTTGTCTCCTGTAGTTAAACAAAGCACTGTCCATAGGTCTTGTGAGCCCTGTTCAAGATTTAATTAAATTAGGTCTTTACTATAGTCAGTCAACAAATGGGCTGCGTGACAGAGCAGTAAGTAAGGAACAGCAGGAAGACACACTTCATTGTTAAATGAGAGCATCGTCCCCTCAGCGTTCTCTGTTGCATATCACCTGTTCACCCACACTTACAGAATAGGGTTTGGTTTTGCAAGGTACAATTAATTCCTATAGGAAGTAAGTACTTGTTCTCTGTTTGTTCACTTCCTCAGTGGGATTGGCCATTTGTGTCCTGGGCTGCTGGTTCTGAGATGGTCAGGCAGGCTTGCTAATAGGCTATTGCCATGTGTGTGTCTGAAGGGGCAGGTGGCCGCCCTGGCTGTCACTGGAGATCAGGCCATGGCGAAGCTCGGCCTTCCTGTGTTGTCTGCATTTGTTGCCTAAATTGTGTAGCTTACCTGCCATACCACAGAAACGATCCATGCTTTCCTCAGTTTTACAGCAAAGCAAACTTGATGTGGCCGCAGGCGTGAGAATCCATTTCCCTGTAATCATAAACTTGTGTGGAAATAGTCCCTGGGCACGACTTCAAACCTGTCTGCGGGTTTCTTCGGTTTGTTCTTCGTGTGCTTGCCACTGAGGGTTGGTAACAGCTTCCTGCGTGTCCTCCCCACGCTCCCGGCGGATGCTCAGCACATCTGAGTCCCTGAACCGCTAGCCTGGCACCTGCTCCGTTGGGCACATTCAGGAGACTGTTTCTACTCTTTTTAGGAAACGTGTAAATCCCCTCATCTGAAGCTTCTTTCTGATTGCCCCACCTCCCCTCCAAATCGCTTTTGTATTTTCATGATGTTCTGAAGATTCTGGCTGGGAACAGGGCGGCCAGTGTGTCCTCTGGTCCCTGGACACCACCTGCAGTGTTACACTAGGCAGGAGTCCATTGCTCTGGAACCTTGAGCCCGCAGAGTGAAGTTGGAGTCCCCCGATTCAGCTGACACAGGTCCCTGCATCGTGCCGTTTGAAATGGTGTCCGTTTGCCCCACAGCGAGGCACAGGGTCCAGAGCCCTTTCCTCTTCACAGATGATAGAGCCGAACGCCTGGTCCCGGGCCCTGTCAGGGCCATGAAGCCAGAAAGGGAGAAGTGTAAATGGGCGGGGACAGGAGGAAGCCATTTCCCTCAGCCGCCATCGCCCTCTGGGGAGCCGCGTACACCAGGAGCTTGCCCCATTTGTGCTTGGGGCTGCCCACATGTGCGCATGGGCACCGTGGGCTCGTCCGGCAGTCTGCTCGGCCGGATGGCGACACACAGGTCTGTACTTGGTGCTGGGCTTGCACCGGCTGCCTGACCTGAGAGCCACTGCCTGGTCCTGCTCTGCCTCACCGGTTACCACACCACCTGCCCTCTCACCTGGCCGTCTTCCTTTCTTGTTCTGGCCCCTGCAGATTTCACTGTCTGTGTTTTTTTAACCTTGGCAGTGAATTTCTTGCTCATTGTTTATTAGGCAGCATCTCTGCATTTTCAATGGCAGGGCCGTTGACATCACTGGAGGCTGTCGTTTAGTTGAGGTTCTCAGTTTTCTGTAAACTCTCATCCTTGGCTCGCTTGGCCAGGATTGGCCACCTCCCTTTCTTTGTGGTCTCTTTCACCAACAGTCCTCCTTCCACTTGGCCTGTCAGGAAGGTGCCCGAGTCCTGCTTCTGCTGATGCCCCAAGCACACACTTCGCTGTTAGGGCTTTGAGTCTCTGTTCTTCACCACGACTTCCATGAAGAAAGTGGGTGCTTACTGCGTCACTGTGTTGGATGAACATTCAGCTGAGCTGCACTGCTGTGAAAGGTGTTGGGACTTTTTCAGTCCCAGTTCAGCCTCCTCCTCACATCTGACGTCCCCAATTTCTCCCAGCATGCCTAGTGGAGACCTAGAGGACAGTAGACGGGTGTCCCTGGACAGCCTGTCCGCCCCTTGGGGTGTCCAAGCTCGCCTTCTGCTTGCAGACTCTCCTCCCGCCCCATCCTGCGCTGGCCCCTTCCCGACAGCTGCGGCTCACTTCTCCACCCTGCCCCAGATTCCTGAACCTGTAAGATCCTCAACTCCTTTAGACTGCTAGGTCTCATGGTCAACAGAGACCTTGTTACCTGCACACTTGAAGGTCCCCCACCCAAGTTCAGCATGTCCAAAGCTGACAAGGAATCAACTCTTCTGTGTCCCTGGACTGCAGTGCCATGAGGCCACGCCCCCTCCCGTGGCTCCAAAGGAGAATATTCCTTAACGTTCCTTTGCCTCTTGCCATTCCTGGTGATGTTGAACTTGTGCCAGTTTCTGACTCTGCCTTCACATGACGTCACACAACGTCCTTCCCCAGACCTCTGTGTCTGTCTCAGGTCTCTCTCCTCTCTTGAAGGACCGGGCACTGGATATGGGCCCATCGCAAACCCAGCATGGTGCCTTCAACCTTGCTTTAGAGCCTTCACTTGGTTATGTTTACCAAGACACTGTCCTGGGGTGAGGCAGTACCCACAGCATTGAGGGTTAACATTAGGACGCAGGACATAACCCAGGCCCGGGAGGAGGAGAGTAAATCTCTCCCTCTCGTAGGCTTGCCAGCACAGAGCCAGGCACTTGGGGCCCTGGGAAGAGACGCTCCATAAAGAGCTTCCATGACTTGGGGTACAATGCACCCTGGTGCTTGTGAAGAGCCAGCAGGGGCCAGGGCAGATGCAGTTAGGGATGCAGGACCTCTGATGTGCACTAGATGGCGCCAGCCGCCCGGAAGGCTGACTATGTCTACTTGATGCCAGTTGCTGGGGCACCTGCCAACCATATCTGAAACCCACTGTGCCTACAGGTCCGAGAGCTTCAGACTCGCCTGCAGAGCATGCAGGCCACCGGCCCCTCCAGCCCTGGCCGCCTCACAGCTGCCAGCCGGCCCGTGAACCCCAGCACTGGGGAGCTGAGCACTAGCAGCAGCAGCAATGACATTCCCATTGCCAAGGTGAGCACGGGGTGGGACCGGGAACGGGGGCACTTCTGCTGTCCGGGCCTGGCCACCAGGCAGGGGGCCTGGCCACCAGGCAGGAGGCCTGGCCTGGAGCCCCGGGGCAGATAGCCACCCTGTGTTTCATGTGTGTCCCGGCTGCACCTGGATCCCACATCGCACTCCTCAGCTGTTGAAGGATGTCATGACTGACTCGTCACTGTTGAGCGGGGCCGGTTTTGCCAGGTTGTCTGTACTTCCTGCTGGACGCAGGGTGGCTCGGACTGAGGGCAGCCCAGCAGGGAACCCTGAGTGTGAGCCAGGAGCTCCCCACGTTGCCAGTGCACCGCACGTCAGTTCGGGCAGGCCATGGCCACTACAAGCGGCGGCCCTACCCGGTGGCCGCCACCACACAGGGCCTGCCACGTGGTGCAGCACCGCCACGCGGCCCCAGTCGTGTCTCCACAGCAAGCTTCGTTCTCCGCAGTCACGTGTTAGTTAGGCTAGCGCGGTGCTTTTCAGCCAGCAGTGCCTCTCCAGGGCGCAGTGTGCCATGTGGAGAGCGACTCTGTTCGCAGCCGTTGGCACCTCGTGGTGAGAGACTAGGGCTGCCACTGGACATCGTGCACTGCGTGGAGCAGCCCCTCGGCAGTCACCCAGCTCAGTATCCGCCGTGCTGATGACCCGAACCCCTCAGCCTAAGGGACAGTAGACAAGCTGGCCGAGTGAACTCCTTTTACAAAGTTGGTCTGTGGAGTTGATAGGGATGAAAGTGAGCCTGGTCTGTAGCCACCCCCAACACTATCTGGGACACGATGTGTACTTTCTTGGTCTTTTTTTCTTTTCTTTTTTTTTTTTAAGATTGCTGAGAGGGTAAAGCTTTCGAAGACGAGGTCCGAGTCCTCCTCCTCTGACCGGCCAGTCCTAGGCTCGGAGATCAGCAGCATAGGGGTGAGTGGTCCTGGGGCCGGCGGGGTTGGGCTGCAGGAGCTGCGCAGACTGGCTTCTGACACCAGGGGGCGGCAGAGTTCACCCCCAGTGAGCCAGCTCGTTGTGACTGTGCTTCCTTCCCGAGGATCAAGTCAAAACGAGCACCAGTTTCCGTGTGGTGAATTACTTCGTAAGGCTTAAAAGGGACCTTTCCTCTTCAGATCAAATAAATCTCTCTCCCTTTACTAAGCAAGAGAGAGAGATCCCCATACACACACACACACACACACACACACACACACACACACAAAACCATTCAAGTAAAGAAAGAAAGGACCAGGTTTAGCTCCCAGTACTTTAGACGATATTGTTGGTTGAGGCATCTGCTTTCTCTCACCTGCGCACAGGCCGAGAGTCAGGAAGACCTGAGATGGCCCGTGTCTGCCCGGGTCTCCGGCCCAGAGCCTGTGAGCCCGGGGCGGGAGGCAGCCTCTGACCCTTGGGGGAGTGCCTGCTGAAGGTCAGGACCAGGCAGCCAGTGCTGGGGAGAGCCTGAGGAGCAGGTTTAGGATCCTTCATTTTGAATTTTGCCCTGAACAACAATTGCATGCTTTCAAATTCCAGCCTGGAGGCAAACGGTGGGAGTAAAGGGACAGCCTGCTCCCGGAGTGCAGTGCGGGGTGCCGCAGCCTGCAGCAGCAGGGTGGGGAGAGCTTCCAGACTGCTCCACATCCCGGAATGTGGAGCCTGTGATGGGTCCACCGGGCCCTGTGCTGCGCCCAGCATTGCCCTGTGCTGTGCCCCGCGGTGCACGCCGTGTCCACCGGGCCCTGTGCTGCGCCCTTGTACCGCTGTGAGGAGCCCGGCAGAGTCGCAGCCACAGTGATGGGGATGTCCCCATGGTGACCCTGTCCTCAGGGCAGCTCACGCTCGTGTGCACAGGTTTCCAGCAGTGTGGCCGAGCACCTGGCCCATTCGCTCCAGGACTGCTCCAACATCCAGGAGATTTTCCAGACGCTCTACTCGCATGGCTCCACCATCTCCGAAAGCAAGATCCGGGAGTTTGAGGTAGAGACCGAGCGGCTAAACAGGTAAGGAGAACCCTGAGATGAGTGCCGGCTGCTTTGTGCAGCACCGTGGGGTGGGTCTAGCGTCTGGACTGTCGGGGTGTGTGAACAGTCACCAGGGCTGCATTCTAGGGGTGCAGCCCCTGTGGTCACACGCATCTGAGGAGCAGTCCTCGTGCCCGGCTGCTCTACTCCCATTTTTGTAAATAATTCATAAACCCGGGACCTCGCCATTCCGTTTTGCATGGGAGCATGTAGCCGGCCAGCATCCGGGGGCTCAGGAGCAGTAGAGGCAACTTGGCCAAGTCGCTGCTAGCGTGGCCAGGCCTGTGGCTCCGACTCTGCTCTCCTGATGGCTTCTTCTTGAATCCGTGCTCCGAGCGCATGCGCCTCGAGCCCCCACCGTCTGCCCTGTCTCCTTTAGAATCCGCTGACTGCGCGCCGGTTCCGGGGTTTCTCTCTGAAGCCGCACAGCAGAGGGAACACAAGTTTGCCCTCGGGGCTCTGGGCAAGGGCTGGTGTTGTGTGTCATCCCGTGACGAGGCTTGGAAAGCCAGGAGGACCCTGGCCAAGCCACGGCGACCACTCTGACTCAGCAGGGTCCACAGTGACAGGACAGTCTACAGCCACAGCCGGGTGGTGTGGCCCCCTCCCGCCGCCCGGCTCAGTGGGAGAGTGCGGTGGGAGCTGGGGGGCCGTGAGCTAATCGGGAAGAGTGTGGAGCCTGCTCCCACCGCTGCCGCCTCATCCGCTGCTCTGGTGTGCGGCAAAATGGAATTCAGTCGGCATGTTTACCCTTCCCAATTTGAAACCATGTGAGGGAGTTTTGAAAACTAAGGCAGTGTGGCAATCTGGGTCATTTTGAGCCTTGACGTTAATGGTTTCCTTATTAATCTGAGATGCTGAGGAGCGAGGGTCCCATGCGGCAGCCGGGCGTGCTCGGCCTTGCTGCCTGGGAGCCAGATGTGCCCTTGGCAGTGGGCTGAAGTCAGATGCTACCGAGGGGCCTGTTTTATAAGGAACTCCTTCCTTCCTGCTGGTTCTGGGAATGAGCAAGCTACTGGATTTGGGGGTGCTGGGCGCCCTTCTGCTCAGTTTTGTGTGCCTGGGAGAGTGGCATTTGCGGTGACTGGGTGCTGGCATTGACGGAAGGCTCTCGCGGTCAGCCACCGAGTGCTGTCTGGAGTAGGTACTCCGTCTGTTACGAGGGTATGTCGGTTGGCATGCCCTGAGTGCAGAGGCACCGACTAGCTGTAGGGCACGTCCAGCCCTGCCCTTTGGCCTCACTTCCGTCGTTCCCCTGTGGTCGTGACTATAGCTGGAACCTCTCTCTGCAGCCTGATACAGGTGCCTAATGACCTGTCTCACAGCTGGAGGGATCACCCTCAAAAATGGCACCTTCGCCCCCGGGATCACCTCAGGCCACCCCACAATGAAGGGACATTTTCTGCTTTAGCGAGTCTGTGTCCAACAACTGTTCTGTACTAGACTTCTTGACATACAAAAGTGTCGTAAGATAAACTGAAAAATAGTAAGAGAAGGCTCCCAAACAGCCATCAGGGGGACCCCCTCAGCAGAGCGGGTGGCATTTACTGAGATGGCAAGAAAAGGTGGCCAGGGTGTGGGACAAACCAGGAGTGCCCTTTGGGGGTCCTAAAGCCCAGGTGGCAGTGTGGCCCAGTGGAAATGCCAGAGGAGCAGCCGGCTCTGTGGGGCTGGCAGGCAGCAGAGGCCTGAGCTGGAAGGTGCCAGGCTGTGGAAACACAAGCACCTGTTCAAGTCGGGCCTGAGTGACGTCACCACAGGCCAGCAGAGGCAGGGCCGAGGCCTGCAGGAACACCAGCCTCTCAGACAGAAGAGAAACTGTCTCTGAGCACGATGGAAAGCAACAGAGCCTTCCGAAGCCCAGCGAGGGGAAGGAGGGTGGCCAAACAGGACCTGGACGTGCTCTGGAGCAGGCTGGCAAGTGTGCGGGAGTGGGACAGTGTCCATGTCAGGACCACCAGACCAGGGCCAGAGAGCCCTGTCACCCCTGCCCATGAGTGGACCTTGGGCTGCCCGAGCCTGGCACACAGTGGTCCTAGTTCTAGACCCATCTGATGCCCTCCACTTGGCAAGTGTCTCATATGCTGCTCCAGGAGGTGTGTCAAAGAGCCGACTCCAGGCAGGTGCTTCCAAGCCCCCAGTATGCCTCCGGAGTGCCGTTAGGACTGTGGTCACAGCACAACAAGAGAGCATGTTCTGTGGGAAATGCAGGCCCCCTCGTGGTGGGCATTCATGTCTCGGGATCGAAAGTGCAGAAGCTGCAGGGCCACGTTTGTGTTGTTTTCTAACTGCGCTGCGTATGCAATTCTGAACCCTGCAAAATGTACACATTCCCGGGACTTGTGCTCCCAGGAGTTAGCTGCTGGTGCGTGTCACTGGGCACATATCCTGAGGACCCCCACCCCCAGGGTGTATCCTGAGCCCCCCCCACACACACACCTGCCGGCCCACCTGGTGCTTCTCCCCAGGAGTGGTTTCAGAGTGCAGAATCTGCCCACACACACTGCCTGGTTCAGATCTCGGGCAAAGGACCTTGCCTTCGGTGCCTCCTCTTCATCTGAGAAGAAGCGCCAGTGGGAGGCTGCTCTAGCCAGGGCTGGGCAGGCGTGGAAGTGCAGCCGGTTGGTTAAGCTGTGGCTTAGGATGCCCACACACCACCTCAGTGCTGGCCAAAGTCCCAGCCACTCTGCTTCCTGTGCAGCTTCCTGCTGACATGCTGGGAGGGAGCCCAGGTACATGCCCACCCACCTGGGGGACCCAGAGGAGCTCCTGGCTCCTGTCTGTGGCCTGGCCCAGCTCCTGCTGTTGGGGTGAACCAGCAGGTGGAGTCTCAACCTCGCCCTCTCTGTCACACTAACTTTCAAATAAAGACGTGTCTGAAAAAGATTTATTGAGTTCTGTTGGAAAGGCAGATCAGATTTATGGAGAGGAGAAGCAGAAAGATCTTCCATCTGCAGGTTCACTCCCCAGTTGACTGAGTCAGAACTAAGCCGATCCAAAGCCAGGAGCCAGGAGATTCTTCCAGGTCTCCCACACAGGTTCAGGGTCCCAAGGCTTTGGGTCATCCTCTACTGCTTTCCCAGGCCGCACGCAGGAAGTTAGATGGGAAGCAGAGCAGTCGAAACACAAACTGGCGCCCGTATGGGATCCTGGTGCTGGCAAGGTGATCTAGCTGTCGCACCATTGCTCTGGGCGCAGCCTCTGTTACCCTGCAGTGGGACTTGGTGCATCTGACAGGGCTCTGGCGAGGCCAAGGGCTCACAGCTCTCTCTCCCTTGCTGTACCCCGAGCACAGCACACATCAGGGGGAACAGCCGGGGGCTTGCTTTCCTTTCTGATTCGCATGGAATTTACTGAGTACTTAGAAGTGAGTCTGCTTTTGTCATCTTCATTTGTTAGAACACCTGATAAGTCTGTCCTGACACGTTCTGACCACAAACATGCTTCTTCTTTTGCAGCCGCATTGAGCACCTCAAATCTCAAAACGACCTTCTGACAATAACCCTGGAGGAGTGCAAGAGCAACGCTGAGCGGATGAGTATGCTGGTGGGAAAATACGAGTCCAACGCCACGGCGCTGAGGCTGGCCCTGCAGTACAGGTAGACCGCAGGCAGGCGTGGGGAGCACAGTGCCCGGGCCCGTTAGCCACCGAGGTTGTTCAGAAATGCATCCCTACCTGACCTCCCGTGTCCAAACAGAAACCCGTTTTTAGAAGACAAATACTGGCATAACATGTACTAAAATTAATCAGGATTGCTGGAGCAGTTGGAGAACACAGGCCCTGAGTCTGACGTCAGTGAGCAGGCATTTTTCTGCTGGCATATTCAACTACAGTGTTATTTAAGTAGTGCAATTCAAAATACCAATTTCATGTTCCATATTCATGTGCTGTTTCTGGTGCTTAATTATATTTTTATACTTAATTTATGTTGTAAATAGAATGCATTCTGTTTGTTCAGTTTGTCTTTTTTTTTTAACCTGTTATGCCATTTTTAAAAATTACTCATTTATCTAAGAGAGTTAGAGGACCAGGGATTTCTTCCATCTGTTGATTCACTCCTCAAATGCTTGCAACCAGCCAGGACAGGAGCTCCGCTTGGATCTCCCATGTTGGAGAGTCTCTGGGTGTTAGTTCATGTCCTGGCTGCTTCCCTCGCTCTAGCCTCCCTCCCTGCTCCTGGGAAAGCAGCGGACGATGGCCCAAGCACGTGGGTCCCTTCACCCCACGGGAGACTGGATGAAGCTCTGAGCTTCTGACTTGGGCCTAGCGCAGCTCTGGCTCTTTGCAGCTATTTGGGGAATCAGTGAATGAAAGATGTTTTTCTCTCTCCCCTTCTGTCACATCCTTTTCTTAAGATTTACTCATTTATTTGAGAGAGTTGTTCTGTGTGCTGGATCAGTCTCAGTGCCACGTGGCCAGCACTGGGCCAGGCTGAAGCTGGGAGATAGGAGCTTCTTTCAGGTCTCCCACGTTGAGTAGCAGGCGCCAAATCCCTTGGGCCATCCCAGGTCATCGGCAGGGAGCCTGAGTGGGGTCTCGGGACTTGAACCAGCACCATATGAGACACCAGCATTGCAGGTAGTGGTGTTCTATATTGCTACACGTCTGCCCCATTCTTTAATGAAGCAGATCAGGCCTGGCACCAAGCTTGGCACAGTGGCATGAGGGCCAACAGTGGGGTCTTTTCTAGCCAGTCCTCCAAGGGGCAGAGCCCTCTCTGCACCTGTACTTTTCTAGAACTCAGTCGGTTGGAAGGCACAGCAGATCGGGGCACTCCCTTTGCCCGGGGCGGGGGTATCCTGGGTGGCCTCCCACCTATACTGGTGGACAGCAAGGCCAAGGCCACCTGTCCCAGGAGCAGCACCGGCTTTGACCCTGCCCTTGAGACCCCACCCTGCGCTTGTGTTTCAGTGAGCAGTGCATCGAAGCTTACGAGCTCCTGCTGGCGCTGGCCGAGAGTGAGCAGAGCCTGATCCTGGGCCAGTTCCGAGCGGCCGGCGTGGGCTCCTCCCCCGGTGAGTGCCCCGTCTGCCCATCAGTCCTTCTGGCCTGCCTCCCTCGTGCCAGGCCCTGCTGATCCCGCAGCAGCACGAGACACACTTGCCCAACGTGCTTTTCATTTTCCCTCATGGCTGAGGTGATTTGCTGTTGCTGCAACAAGCACTGAAGTGGAAACAGAATTCCAGACAAGGTGGAAACAAAGGGGCCTCAGAGACATCCTCTCCTGGGTCCCCTAGAGTGGGAGGCGGTCATGATCCTGAGTGGACCCACTGCCACTGCTTGCCCTCGTGCTGCCCGCTGCCCAGGGCTGGACCCTTGCCGCCCCTCACTGCTCTCATCCAAGCATGTCCTCAGCCCGCCTCTGTCCCTCTGCTCTGAGTAAGCGGATGCTCACCCTGTGAGCCCCAACACACATGGCTGACGGGACTTACCCGCCTGTGTCCCTCAGCTTTGAGTAAGTGGAAGGGTGCTTTAATTCAAAACAGGCTGTGGGGGCAGCAGCAGGTCCAGGGCTGGAGAGGACAGACTGAGGGACGAGAGTGCCCCCTCGGTGATGCGGCTGCACCCCCACTTGCCAGCAGCAGCTTTTCTGCAGAAGCCAGGACAAGAAACCAGAAAGCCAGAGTGACTGGGTGGTCCCCAGGCCAAGTGCAGATGGTGACCCACTGTGGCAGCTTGAGCTGTTTAGGGAGCCTGAGCTGCCCTGGACCATGCTACCTGCCAGCACTGTCCCAGGGTGTACCCCGTCCTGGCCGGCACCACCCCTGCCAGCACCGTCCCAGGGCACACCCTGTCCTGGCCGGCACCACCCCTGCCAGCACCATCCCAGGGCACACCCCGTCCTGGCCGGCACCACCCCTGCCAGCACCGTCCCAGGGCACCCCCGTCCTGGCCGGCACCACCCCTGCCAGCACCGTCCCAGGGCACCCCCGTCCTGGCCGGCACCACCCTATGCCTGGGGCACCTTGGGCCGGAACTTTGACATGTATTTCTGCTTGGTTTCGCAGCTCACAGGACTGGGGGGCACGGGGGGTGTCGGTGTCCGGCTCGCTCTCCGGGCTCCCCACAGGGGCAGGCCCTCTGCTATGGGTGGCCACCCAGTCCTCCAGGGTTTTCTGTTTCTTTTTTAATAGTATTACCTTCCCAGTGCCAGAGTGGAACCTCTGCCAGCGTTTCCATTAGAAACCTCATTTGTCGGAACCCTTTAACTGGACCGTAAAACTGCACTCCTCATCTGAAACAGCCCCTAAAATGACCCTGGCCTGCTGTCAGCGCTTTTAAAAATATAAATGATCAATTAAGGGGGAGAAATCAGCCCTCCTTTTTGCAGTTGGTATCAGATGGTTTAACCTGTTCTGTCCTGGAAGGCTTTTACAGAGCCTGTGTCTCCTGGGGCAGTTCCTGGTGGGAGCCGAACAGGCGCCGAAGGCTGCACTTTCGGTCTGCGCTGTCGCTGGCCTCGCGCTGAGCGGCGTGTGCGCATCCGCCATTGTGTCGCACGGAGGGGTTCACTGCCTGCCCGGCCCTTTCCCTGCCATCACCACTACCCCGCTCCCCGACGGCCGGCAGGGCTTTGAGTGTCTGCGTAGTTTTGCATTTCTGAACAGCCTTGAGCACACACAGTGTGAGCTACCCGGGCTCCCATGCTCGGCAGCACTGTGGCCCCCAGGGGAGCTGCGTCCCCACCACTATCAAGCTCTGAGAAGGCTCAGGGTCTGTGTTGGTACAACGTACATAGTTTAAGTATGCATGGGAGAATGGGCTGAGCAGGAGCCGGTGCGAGGAGGCAGTGTTAGCTCACATTTTTTTTTTTTTTAATCAGGCAGATTTACAGAGAGGAGAGGCAGAGATAAAGATCTTCCATGTGCTGGTTCACTCCCTAAGTAGCTGCAATGACTGGAGCTGAGCCGATCTGAAGCCAGAAGCCAGGGACTTATTCTGGGTCTCCCAGGCGGGTGCAGGTCCCAAGGCTTTCGGCCGTCCTCTGCTGCTTTCCCAGGCCACAGGCAGGGAGCTGGATGGAAGTGGGGCAGCCAAGACATGAACCAGCACCCCTAAGGGATTCCCGCACGTGTCAGATGAGGAGTTGACCCACTGGAATACTGCGCTGTGCCCAGCTCACGTGGTCTGTAAGAGCAGTGGAGCTGGGGCTGGGAGATGTCATCCCAGCGCCAGCCTCTGCAGGCCAAGCGGGCACACAGCCGTGCCGGCTGGCCACCCCGCCCGAGCAGCCAGGAATCGGTGCACACTACCAGCTGCCCTGTGCCACCGCAGGGCTTAACGCATCGGCTTTTCTGACATGCAGGCGACCAGTCCGGGGAGGAGAACGTCACCCAGATGCTGAAGCGTGCCCATGACGGCCGCAAGACGGCCGAGAACGCCGCCAAGGCCCTGCTCATGAAGCTGGACGGCAGCTGCGGCGGAGCCTTCGCCGTGGCGGGCTGCAGCGTGCAGCCCTGGGAGAGCCTTTCCTCCAACAGCCACACCAGGTAACGCCGCCTCGCTCCCTGACACACCTGTCTACAGAAAGGATGAGCCTGAGTGAGGCGTGGCGAGCAGCTGGTGTGGGACACAGCCCAGAGGGATGGGCGCTTTGCCGTAGAGGTGGCGCGGACGGGGCACCATCCGGGATGGGCGAGGCCTACTCGCTGCCCGTGGTCCCCGAGCATTGGCAACACAGCCCACCCTAGCTTGGCTCTGCCCCCTTGGTGGGTCTGTCCTTTCCCATAGACTGAGCTGCTTCTCATGTCTCCTGTCCTTTGGAGAGTGAAGCCACACTCATGCACCAGCTCAACAAACGCTTGCTTAGCACCCAGAGGCTGGGGTCTGTGTCTGAATCTCGGAAGCTCTTGTGGGCACTGACAAAGGCGAGCGGGAAGCCGTGCCCAGCTGAGGCAGCTGGGTTGCGCTGGATGGAGGCGGCGTCTGTCCTCGCTGTCTTCTCGTTCTGGCCAGCAGAGTCCTAAACGCCTCTAGGTAGTTAGTGTTCTCCGGGATGTCAAGGTTGCTCGGGTGTTTATGACGTCACTGGCAGGCCTTGCACACCTGTCAGTACAGTCCATGGGAAGTTTATTGAATTTTGAGTCTGCCTGCAGTTTCTCGGGCTCCAGGCTGCAGGTCCCCAGCCCTGGTCTAGATTCTGGCTTCTTGTTTTCTTAGCTGGTTGCCAAAGCAGGAGAAACAAGGAAGGCTAAATGAGCCTGCTCCAGGTGAGAAAATCTCGACTCAGGTGGGTAGGTGGTTTGCTCAGGGCTGTGTGCCTGTGGGGGAGCCTGTGCTGAACCCCAGAACTCCAGCAGCAGGCTCTGCGCTTGGGCCCCACAGCGTTCCCGTGCGTCGGCTGTTTGCGGATCAAGCGGCCAGGCCGGCAGGAAGGCGGGTAGGATCTCCCTGACAGCGTCTCATTTCCATGCCTCTGTCCCTCGGGCAAGGCCCGATCGCCTGCCTCCACCCGCCGCTGTGTGTGTGGCCCCAGGAGAGCAGCCACTCCTGCGCTGGCCGGGCGCGAGGGCACACACAAGGCTCTCGTTTCCTCTGGACTCCGGCACTGGTCTTCTTAGGAAACAGGGATTATAACTCTCTCCTGAAAACCAGATTCTTCGAGTTTAGTACAGAAAGTAGATGCCCTCAAACTTCTCCGGAAGTGTGAAGCTTGCTCTTCCTCTGGTGTAGACAGGGCGGTCCCGCCTGCCGGGCGAGCGGGAGAGTGCGGGAACGGGGCTGCACACCTCCTACCCCCAAAGAATTTTTTTTTTTTGGTGACGAATCACGTGAATTTGGAGATCTTGGTCTTGAATACTTGTAAAAAAAATGATTTTGATGTATGAGGTTTGGAGACCATTTTCTTAGAGAAGTTGGGCTTGAGTGAATTGAGTGTCCTTTCTCTGGGAGGCAAAGGACCAGCAGTGTTTCATGTTGGGGATTTCTTGGTTTTGTAGTATTTGCACTTAGAAATTAGATGATGTCTGTGGACAGGACCCAGGTATAAACAAAGTTGCTTCATACAGACCTTGCACGAAGCCTGCGTGCTGGGCCATGTGTGGTCAGGCATTTCCACCGTGGCGACTTGCTGGTGTTCGGGAGGTTTTGAGATTTGGGGGTTCAGGATATTCCACTGCTTTGTCTTCTGTGCATTGAGACGAAGAGTGCGGGCTGTGAGCTCATCGCAGTCTCAGGTGCATCCTCCACCCAAGTGCAGGGACCCCAGCTCTGACTCCCCCTGGCTTGCTCACCCTACCCTCGGAACCACATCCGAGCCCCACACGGAGCCTGCCTGGCTGGAGCAAGTGTGTCACACGTGGGCTGTCAGGCCCGCCTCCTTAGCGTCATCTCACGCACTTACTGAGTCTCGCGCTTCTGATATCCCTCATGTCAGATTTATGAAAAGAAAGAAAAGCCACCAAGCTGGGGGTTTCTGTGACCCTATCAGTCCTTGTTGCTCGCCCCACCCCAGCTGCCTTAGGGAATTTTGGTCACAGAGCTGGAGGGCTCTTGCTCCAGTCTCGGGCAGCTCCTGGTGTTGGGGTGACGCAGCAGAGCGTTTGAGCTGTCCAGGGGCTGCAGTGATAGCCAGTCTTCAGTTGCCACCGTTGCTGCTGGCAGGCGGCCACATGCATTGCTGTTCCATTTTTTAAGAACACAGGCTGTTGTCTTCAGAGTGGAATCCTGAAGTCACTGGGTAACGTTCACTGGCCAGGTCGCACGTCAGCAGGAAGGGGCTGAGGGACTCGGCTGTGGCCACGTGGAGGCAGGAATGTGTGCTGGAGGTGGCAGCGTGTTGAAAGGTGATAGATCTTCCATCTGCTGATTCCCTCTCCACACGCAGCAGGCCATGGCGGAGCAGGGTGCAGAGCCCAGGTGGGCCACGGTCTGTTTGCTCCCAGGAACAGTCCTGGGAAGCTGGGTGGAAGTGCAAAGTGGCAACGCAGGGACTGAAGCTGACATGCCTGTAGAGGATGCTGGCCACAGCACCTGCCCCAGACACAGACTTCAGAAGACAGCTGTTAGCTGACAGTGGGGCGAGTATTTGTTTCTTTTCCTTTCTTTCTCTTTAAGATTACTTACTTTGAAGGAAAGACCAGAGATAGAACTTCTTGTCGAGACCCACCTTTGAGTCAGACTTTATGATCCGGCTCGTTTGGTGGTCTGACTCCGCAGAAGGGCCTGTGGCCAAGACAGGACGGGCCAGGGCACTGAGTGCCTGGAAGGCTGGACCCACGTGCCTTTTATTTCAGTGTCGTGTGGGGAGCCGGTGAGAACAGATGCCCCTGCTGGCAGTTCACACTGGGTTGCAGCCGAGGGTGGCGGAGGTCTGGAAGAGGCCCATCCTTGCCCTCTGGGCAGCTCTAGGACATCATTTCCCTGGAACAGGAAGAAGGTTTGAGGGTAGTGGAGTCACAAGCGTTAAGAGGGTGAGTGGGTCCAAGCGGCGACCAGTCGGGACGGGCCCGGGCCGGCAGCACCAGCAGCCTGCGCTTACTGAGGAAGAGCTGTGCGTGCTTGCGTGTCAGGAAAGCGCATCCAAAGAGCGGTCATTAGCTTCAGAACTCGTCTCGGCGTGGCTGCCAGCTGTCCTGCGTATGTCCTTGTCGCTAAGCTCCTGAGTCCTCTAGCATCATGTTGGAGATCCATTCACAGTGTCCTCCTTGCTGACCCTCTGCCTCAGGGCCACCCTTCCTCGTGGTGTCCACACAGCCCCTCTCTGACACCTCGTCCAGCCACTCAGATGTGCCTCTAGATGGAATTCAGCACTGACCCAGCCGCAGGCCCCTTCCTGGTGTTCGTGCACTCCCAAGACATTCTGTTTCCTGAATGTGGGTCTCTGAGGACGAGGTTTCCCGGGGCTGTGGCCTCACCGCCATAGCAGCCGCCTGGGATGCTGCTGAGTAGTGTAGTTATTTAGTGCTGACCTTGGACGGTCACCGTGCCAAACATGGCGTTTTTCCTCGTTTATGCCTTAACACAGTGTTGGGGAACAGCTGCTGTTTTATAGATAAGGACATGAAATCTGCAGGTACTATGAGATGCTCAGAGGATGAGGTGACCCTTGGGATTAGGATTCTGCCTGGGGACGGAACCAATGTGAGATAATGTACCCCAAGCTGTGCCACTGTGTTCCCGTCGCCCCTGGTGTGGCGCTGTGTGTACCTGGAGGTCGGCATTCTGTTGGCGGGCACCTGTCACCTGTCCCTGTGGGGATGTGGCTGTATTGTTGCACTGTTGTGTGGGCGCCTGTACCTACACACGTGTGGCATAAGGAGCTGGCTGGTCTGCTTATGCAGCTGGCTTAGGACAGGCTGGGACCCAAGGAGAGCAGGTGAGCTGCAGGCAGAACACTTCGCTCTGTTCTCAAGGTGTCAATGGCTGGACACAGCTTCCCAGGTGAGGGGGCTCCTTGACCCATGGTCTCCAGTCTCACAGTAGTCACGTGGGTGCTTGGCCGGGCACCGGGGCATTGCCACCCTGGGAGAGGCGCTGCTGAACACTGGGCTAAGCTGCTGGTTCCTGTCCTGCACTGGTAGAGGGAACCAGGGCAGCCCCAGGGAAATGCAGCCGTCCCATCTTCTCTGACACAAAGCTCAGCCAGGCCCTGGACTGATGTCTCCCCACAGGAACACCGGATGAGGGGAGGGGCTCCACTCTGCCTCGTCTCTCCCTTCCCGGGAAACGATCTCATGCACTCTGAGCGTGCAGGTGCATCTGGTCACGTCCAGACTGTGGGGAGGGGTCTCCTGCCCGGAGGGGAGGCGAGCTGCAGGATGTGCTAGCCCCTGACCTTCCTGCTGCTCCCCCAGGCTTCAGGACAGACAGCCCTGTGTGTCTCCCAACAGCCAAACCCAAGGTCGCTGCACCACCTGCTGGCCGCTTCAGGTCTGACTATCAGGGCAGCCAACCTGCAGCTGCTGCTGGGGTAGGCTGATTCCTCTCCAGGCCATGGCTGTCCTGCCTTCCAGGGTGGTTTGCTCCCCGTGGCCCTGGGTTCTGATGTGTGCATCACAGGCCGACAGCCTCTGCACGGTCAGCACGCAGTGAGGCTGCCCAGGGAGGCCCACAGGGAGGCCCAGGCACCCCAATTTCAAGGTTGCTGTCTCCTCTTACACCCACCTGTGTGTCCTTGGTACCAGATGCAAGCAGCTAAGGTTAGCAGTGCATAGCATCTGAGTGGGCAGCGGGACCAGGGGAGGTATCAGGGAGGACCCAGGAGGCTCCTCACACCCCCCCACTGCCCTGCACCCCAGAAGGTTCCTCAGGCCCCCCCACTCCGCGCTCCACCCCGGGGCCTCCTCCCACTGTGTGGGTGTGTGGGTGTGTATGTGTGTGTCCCAGGGAGGACCCAGGAGGCTCTTCAAGGCCCCCCACTCCGCGCTGCACTCCAGGGGCTCCTCCCACTGTGTGTGTGTGTGTGTGTGTGTGTGTGTGTGTGTGTGTGTGTGTGTGTGTGTGTGTGTGTGTGCATGCATTGCTATGGCCCACACCTACCTGGCACTCAGTTCAGCCTCCGTGTCCCCTCACATCCTTGTGCCAAGCCCTGCCCTGTGCCCACCTCTTCCACACACACTGTTGTTATTTATTACCTCCACCCTGTCCGTCGTCATGGTGACCTGCCTGCCGCCTTCCAGGGTGCGCGGCTGGCCACCCTGCTGTGTGAAACAGCTGCACATGCTTCTGGGGAGGGACTTGCTTGGAAAGCCGATTTGGGTTCCGATCGTGGCAGAAGTAGAAGCTTCTGTTGTTAACAAAGTGCTTGGTGTCCTGAACCGTGAGAAGGCTCTTCTGGCTGCCGTGGGAGCCGCGCCGGACAGAGGGGCGAGGGGAGGATCGCGGGGACAGCGTGGACACGGGCAGCGTCTCTCCATCCCACAGCACAACCAGCTCCACGGCCAGCAGCTGCGACACGGAGTTCACCAAGGAGGACGAGCAGAGGCTCAAGGACTACATCCAGCAGCTGCGGAACGAGCGGGCCGCTGTCAAGCTGACCATGCTGGAACTGGAGAGCGTCCACATCGACCCCCTGAGCTGCGACGTCAAGCCGCGGGGTGACAGCCAGCGGCTGGACCTGGAGAACGCCGTGCTCATGCAGGAACTCATGGCCATGAAGGTAGGTGGGGCCGGGGTCCGAGAGGCTGCCCGAGGCGGCGCCCCCACCCGCACCCAGGAGAGCCGGGTGCAGGCAGGCGTGGCTTCCTGTGTTGGGATCCTTGGGGTGGACTGTCCCAGAGGAGGTCCCCAGAGCAGACCTCTACGGCACAGAGTCCACCTGCCATGACCCCTGACTGCGAGGCTTGCCCTGCTGAAGCCAGCCCTGTGTGGGTGCAGCGGATATGGGCAAGGCCACTGGCGGTGCTGGGCAGGCCCCCCCACCCACCGAAGCACCTGGTGGGGCCGTGAGTACAGGCCTGCACCGGGGGTAGAGGCCTGGCGTGCTGGAGGGACTTGAGTGCCACTTTGGCTAGGGGTTTAACCCTCTTGCTTAGATCAGATTCCCCCAAAGCTTGGAGAAACTGCCGCAAGGAGCACACCAGCATGCCAGTCAGGTGACGCCCTCCAGGGGCGAGGGCACAGTGCTCCCCTTATGAGGGATCCAGGTGGGTCAGAGTGGTCACTCCCAAGTGCAGGTGCCCTGGCCTGTGGGACCACACTGACCCCAGCTCTCAGGGTCGGGAACCTGCAGCGTCTCCTCCCAGGCTGGGCCGACATGGGGCTCAGCTTAGGCACTGGAGAGGGGAAAGGGGATAGCAGGTAGCAGCCATACCTCCTAGCTGCTTTTACCAGACTGCTGTCCCAGAGTCGAGGCCTGGCTTGCCCAGCCCTGGCCAGGGCAGCAGGTGCATGCGCTTCCAGCACAGAAGCTGCAACTGACGCAGGATCTGGGCAGGTGTAGCACATGCAGGCAGGTGCTCACCCGCTGGGATCCACTCGGTCGTCTGTGGGGACAGTACTCCTGCCAGGCCACCTGCTCAGTGCTCTGCCCTCGGTGGCTGCCATGGCTGGGAGCCCCTCTCCCTGCCCACAGGCTGGCCACAACAGTGCCCAGCGGGGGTCCTCTCTCTGGGCTGACCAAGATGCTGCCCGGCCGGTATTCGTTGCACACCAGGTGCTTGCTTTGCGGGGAGCATGTGCTGGGACTCGGTGTCGCTCGGCCAGGGAAGGCATCTCTGCATGTGCCTGTGAGAGCCTTGGTATCTCCTCTCTCCTATCCCCGCTGTTTTTTTTTTTTTTCCAAAATTTATTTTTATTGGAAAGGCAAATTTTCAGAGAAGGAGAGACAGAAAGATCTGTCAGCTGGTTCACTCCCCAAGTGGCCTCAGCAGCTGGAACTGAGCCAGTCCAAAGCCAGGAGCTTCTCCCAGGTCTCCCACGCGGGTGCAAGGTCCCAAGGCTTTGGGCCGTCCTCAACTGCTTTCCCAGGCCACCAGCAGGGAGCTGCTTGTGGGGCAACCAAAACACAAACCGGTACTTATATGATCCCAGTGTGTGCAAGGTAATGATTTAGCCACTGAGCCATCACACCAGGCCCCACTGTGTCCTCTGCCACTTGTAAACCAAGTGCGTATCCATTGTTGGCTGTGCCCATCCTGCAAGCTTGTGGAGGGTCCACCAGGGGACCTTGTCCTAAGTATGTCCCCACGCACCCCAAATCTGCGAGCCAGCAGGTCACATGGGTGTGGCCATCTTGTTTGGGATGTAACTGCTGGCTTGTGAGTGGCTTCAGTGAGGTCTCGCCTGGTTCCCTCAGTGCATCTCCTGACCGTGCCCCGCCCTGCCCTGTCCCTTCACTCTTTAATGCGCCTCTGGATCGTCGTCTTGTGGCTCTTCACCGCTGCACGGTGCTCCGTGCTCGCTGCACCTGCCGTACCTGCTGTGTCGCTCCTCCGGTGTCGTCAGGTGGGGATGGACTTTTGTCCACCTTCGTGCACCTCTGCCCCCTGGGGTCCTGTGTCACGTGTGTCCTGCGGGGTGGCACTGCGTGGCCCCTGTGGATGTAAAAGCCCTAGGACTAAGTTTTGTTGAGTTCTTGGCATCAGATTCTGGCCGCTTACACACACAGGCCACAAGTGACTGGTTTCTCTGTGGCTTCCCACCCAGAGCCCAGATGACGGGTTTCCTTGCACACCTCCGAAGTAGTGTGGACCCTTGTTCTGGGCAGTGTTGGGAGACCCCTGTCCACAGAGGGGCCTCAGTTCTGCCTCCTAAGCCCACAGCCTTCCCTTGCATGGACAGCGGGTCTCAAGGTCTGCGGAGGCATCGGTGACTGCCACCCACTCTGCTGCCTTCCCCCGACCCTGTGCCCAGCAGGCTCTCTGCCTCTCTGGCACCTAGGGACACCCCTTCCTTTCTGTCCTAACTGCCCTGAGTTTGTCCTAGAAGTGACCCCCTCAGGTCAGCTTGCTGTGCTCCCAGGACCTTGGAGAACCTGCCTTCTGATGGCAGAAGAGGCCTGGGTACAGGCACACCTTCCACCCTGCCATTTCAGGGAGCAGGGGTTTTGCCCACTAACTTACACGCCCACTATGGGGGGGACATGACTTGAGCCTGGCCATCTGTCCACCTTGGAGGGGAAGACAGCCGCCCCAGGTCTGGCCTGCTCACGGTTCCCCCTGGCCTGTGGTTCATTTCTCGGGGAGGGTCTCCTTGGGTGGCCAGGCCAGCGGCGTTGAAAAGTCCACTCACTAGGAGTTGTCTTTCTGAGGCGAAGTCATGCAGGTCACCCGGGAGCTGGGCCGGTCAGCACGGGCGAGGGTCGAATCCCCCATGGGCCCTCGGGCAGGGAAGCAGCCTGGGCAACCGAGAGCAGCCCCACACCTGACTCCGTGGTCTGGGGCGGTGGATCTGTCCCACATGGACAGATGGTGCTGACAGCCACCTGGGGCAGGAGCGTCAGTGAGCTACTTAACCCAAGCACTTGAGCGGCATACGTGCTCAGCAGAGGCTGGGGGAGGCGGACTGGCTCCCGGCCCTGAGAGCGGCGTCCCGGCTATATCTCCTTCTCCTTGGAAGGCACCCACCAGGCCTCTAGCAGACACCCTTACAAGTCCCCCAGGGAGGATCCGGTTCCGTTGCTTGGCTCCGGCCCTCAGAAGGAGCAGAGCAGCTGGGTGGGATCCAAGGGCCTCGTCCCTTCACACGTGGGAGACTGCGGCCTTGGGCAGGGGCAGTTCAGCCCGTGTGCCCGAGAGTGAGCTGCAGCCAGGCCAGTGTGTGTTCGTGCTGGAGCTCTTCTCAGGGGGAGCCCGTCTGCTCACCTCTGTGTGTTGATGGAGGACAGGGCTCGTGGCCGCGTCCACACAGCAGTCCTAGCCGTGGGGGGCAGCCGCGTGTGCCCGCCGCGTGTGTCCCTCGTCCCTCACGCCTCAGGCACGCCGTGTCCCGCCCCGCAGGAGGAGATGGCCGAGCTCAAGGCGCAGCTGTACCTGCTGGAGAAGGAGAAGGCGGCGCTGGAGCTGAAGCTGAGCACGCGGGAGGCGCAGGAGCAGGCCTACCTGGTGCACATCGAGCACCTCAAAGCCGAGGTGGAGGAGCACCGAGAGCAGCACTCGCGCTCGCTCAGCTCCGGCGGCAGCGGCAAGGACAAGCCCCCCAAGGTAGGCGCCCGCACCCCTCAGGGCATTGGGCAAAGCAGCCAGGCCGTGTGTGTGGACAAGCCTCCAGCACATCATCCCCGAGGGGGCTCCGTGCCCCTGGCAGGCACTGCCCACACTGGGGAGGGACGGCCATCACACTCCGCTAAAGGGGGCTTCTCCTGACCCAGTGTTGTTGGCAGATCTGGCCTGCTGGTCCCGGAAGTGGCTTCTCCCAGCACAGCAGCTGTGTCCCTGACAGGAGGGGACCATGCAGGCCAGAGTGGCACTGAGTGGGCATCCCTGGGCAGCCGAGCGCTCACCGGTTCCTCACGAGTAGCTGCTGGCCCCTGTGGGCCAAACCTCGCAGCCAACTTCCCCTAAGCCCTGGCAGCCTTTGTTCATTTGCTTGTGGGGGGCTCTGACATCCGCAGGCACATAGCTCTGTGGTGAAGAGGGCCAACTGTCACACGGACAAGGATCGAGTGCCCGGTGCCACTGGGGCCATGACCCAGGTGTGGAACACTCAAGAGCTTTCTAGAAGGCCTCTGACCTAGGACCAATGGGGAGAGGAAGCTGCCTGTGGAACCCACAGCAGAAGCCCAGGGGTCAGGCAGCTGGAGAGCGGGCAGGGCAGCAGTCCCCGGTGCTGGGGTGGACCTGGCACTGCTGTCAGCATCCCTGGGCAGTCCGGCTGCTCCCTGAAGCCAGAACTCAGAGTTCCCCTGTTCTCTGTGTTGGTTGGGACTGAGAGAGCAGCATGTTTATGGACTGGCTTCAAAGCACAGACGTACCTGACAGGAAAGCCGGGGAACTTCCCCGTCCTGACACTGGAGCACCCCCGGGCTGTGCCGCCGATGAAATGCCCATAACCAGGTACCTTACATTTCATACTAGATCCCACTGCTGTTTCAGTGAGCGCCCCCGTGTGGGCTGCTTGATGGTCTGGAGCAGGGCCGCAGGTGCAGTGTGTGCAGGGCGCAGGAAGCCAGCAAGGCGCCGTGGGCACTGGTCCATGCACCTCATGCTGTGACTTCCCTGCCACCGGGCGCTCCTCCTTTGGAGGTTTTGTGACTTAGAAACAGGTAGCCGTTGCTATGCTGTGGACCCCATTGGACACACAGGCCTGCTGTCTACAATGGGCAGCACCATAAATGCGCAGCAGGAGCCCCTTGTCTGGGAAGTCTTAGCCAATGTTAACACCACATGGGAGGTGAGATATCGAAAGAGGCATTACTGTGGAGCCTGGACCAACTGCAGGGCTGCTGGCAGGGGACTGGTGGGCAGAGGGGATACCCAGGGTCAGGGCCAGCCAAGGGGCAGTACTCCAGGGTGGCCGCCGGGGCAGCCTGCCTCCCATTGGCTGGGCTCTGGCCTCTAGCTTCCCCGGAGCACCCGTCTGGTGGAGCATTGGCTGCTGGGTGTGCAGAGGGCGCAGTGCACTGGGCCGTGGGCTTGGGTGCCATGCCCTTGGGACTCCACATCCAAAGCAAGCGTAGAAGGCAGGTCAGGACTGGTCCCTTTGCACACCAGCCCATTTCCCCACTCCTCTGTCAAGGCTTGCCCGTGAGGATGCAGAGCCCAGCAAGATACATGGGTATCTCCCATGTGGACACCCTGATGGGGAGCCCTGGGCAGCGAGACTCCTCCGTTCCCCGCTTCTTCCCTGGTGACCAAACGCATGTGGCCCATTGGGAAGCCTGTGACCAGAACCACAGTCGGGGCTGGCTTTGGTTTTGGCGTTCCCCACAGAGGTTCCCCAGCCACTGTTCCTGGGCCTCCATGCCGAGCTGGGACAGAGCCCCAGGGTGCCCCTGCATTGGCGGCTCATCGAAGGCCTGACCGAGTGTGTTTGCGGTCCTCAGGAGTGTACTGACGCTGCCCCCCCTGCCCTCTCCCTGGCCGAGGTCAGGACGACATGCAGCGAGAGTGAGCTGGCAGCTGAGTTCACCAGCGCCATTCGACGGTGAGTACCTGCCGCCCTGCGTGGGCCTTGCTCCAAGTTCTCATGACTGCAAGGGGTTGGGGCCGACTGCTCTAGGCTTGTGCCTGCTGTGGAGGCCAAGTGTGTGGATCCCTACAAGGAGCAGAGAACCACATGCAGGTCCTCGCACTTGAAGGCAGAGAGAACCATGCCCGGGCCTTGGCACTATCCTTGGCCCAACCCTCAGGACCGAGTGGGATGACGGTGGTGACCCCGGGTGCTGCTGCTGGGCTGCCTGGACAGAGCGGCCTCCTGGGTGTGTCGTTCCTCCTGCCCGTCCTTTGTCCCTCCTGTCAGGAAAAGCGCCCAACCAGCTCCTTTAGGTCTGTCCCCACATCCTGGGCTCCAGAGCAGCGTCAGCCAGTGGGACATCACGAACTCTAGTTTTCCAATTGCCACGCCCTTGGCTGCCAGTCAGGCACTGCCATTCCGGAGGCCTGTCCAGCTCAGATTTTTGTTTCATTCATGATGGCCTTTGGCTTCTATATTGTGTTTTACTTGGTGATGTATCTGCCCTTTCATTGTTTTGAAATGTTTGAAAGGCAGTCAGTCTCCCATCCGCTGGGCCATCCGTGCTGCTCTCCACAGGCCACTGGCAAGGCGCTGCCTGGGCAAGGTCATCCCCTGCACCGGCACTGTGGTTTCCTTTCTGAGAAACAGTGCACCCAGCTGCACGTCGCAGCGCCCGGCCACCACGCTGCTGGCAGCCCAAGCTCACCGTGCTGTGCCGCACTCAGCTTGAGCCCAGCAGCACTTCTGGCTGACAGCTCTGCTCGGGGACGGCAGAGAGCAGACGGCCAGACCACACCAGGGTGGGAGAAAAGCTGCTTGCAGGGTCCCACAGGGAGCCCTTTAGGCTGAGCCCGGCGCCAGTCCCAGTGCCCACAGCTCAGAGGCCCCTCCCTCAGGCAGGGGCTGCCCATCAGCAGAGACCCTGCACAGAGGGGCTTGCAGTCAGGCCCAGCACTAGGACCCAGGCTGTCACCTCACCCCATGGCCTTCCCAGGCACCCGTGGCCCTGGTGTGCTGGGACTCCCCTATGCCCTGCCCCCAGGACATCAGTCCCACAGCTCCTTGTGACTCACCTGTGTCCAAATGCCCCTCTGCCACCAGGCAGTGACAGTCCAACTCTTCACAGTGACTTTGTGTGCATCTTTCATTTTTGAGAAGCCACTTTAAAAGAATCAGGATAGAGAAACCTTCAATCTAGTAGCTCACTCCCCGGCCACTGGCCAGAGTGGAGCTCATCTGAAGCCAGGAGCCTCTGGGTCTTGCACATGGGTGCAGGGTGCCACAGGACTTGAGCCATCCTCTGCTGTTTTCCCATGCCATAAACGGAGCTAGACTGCAAGTGGAGCAGCTGGGTCTTGAACCAGTACCTGTAGGGATGCCGTGTCACAGGTGGAGGTTTAGGCCCTGTGTCCCCACTAGGCTCCCAACGGAGAACTTTGCTTTGATAAATGTAGTGCCAGACAGGCGTGGGCTGGTTGCTCGATGGCCCTTCGCTGTTTGGAGCAGCAGGCATGTGCATGGTTAGCAGGTCCGGCTGCCACCAGGGTTGGTGGGCTAGTAAGGTGGTCCCATCCATTGTTTCAGAAATGACCATGGGAGCCATGTAACAACCAGCAGGTGGGTCAGGGGACTGTCTGGTGTCCCAGGGTGCACAGGCGTTGGGGCCATGCAGACCAAGGAGGGGGAGCTCCAGGGCAGCTGTTGAAGGATTCTGCCCCAGACGTGGGCACCTGTTACATGCAGGGTCACACAGCCCAGAGATGGGAAGGACAATGAGATGTGGTTAGATTGGGGGGGTAAGATGGGCGGGGCCGAGCCCCCGGGCAGGCGCTCCGGCAAGGCTGGCCGCTGCAGGAGCTTCTGAGGAACTCAGCAGAGCCGCAGACCAGGGCACATGAGCCCATGTGTGTCGCCTCACAGAACCCCGAGTTGAGGGAGGAGCACGGCCCACGCACACCATGTGCCCTGGTACTTCTGGACTGCCAGGAGTCCCTTCTCTGACCCAGCCCCTCAAGCAGGTGGGGTGAGGTGCCAGGCCCGGGTCACCATGCCCTCTGGCCCACTCACAGAAGGTGGCACTACCCCTCCCTCACTGCCCTGGTCAGCCCCGGGCCAGTCCCAGGCTGGAGTGGCCAGGGCAGGCAGCTGGTGGTCTTTCCTCCCCTCTGGCTCCAAGGGCAGAGAGGTCAGCCCAGGGCGGAGGTGCACTCACCAAGGACAACAGTTCTAGTGCAAATTTTTCATCCTTATTGCAGTTTCTTTCCTGTGCTGTGGCTCAGCCTTAAGGTGACAGAGAAGGAGCCTGAGGCTCATGCTCTTGCTCCTCCCTCCCTCCCGGCTGCAGAGGTGTTGGCAACACTGCCACCCCGTGGCTCCAGCAGGAAACGCTGCCAGGCTCAGGCCTTCCTGGCACCCAAGCAGAGCCCGAAGGCCCGCACAGGCTTCCAGTCTGCGGGCGAGAACTGGGTCTGGACCACCGGGCACCTGAGAGGGGCTCCCACCCAGCTACCCCAGTGCCACACAGCACGTGGCAGTGACAAGGGCCCAAGCTGACACTGGAGCCGTCTGACCCACCTCGAGCAGAGCGTGCCCTGCAGCAGGGCCGGTGCCTGTGCTGTGGGCAGGCTGGGAGGGCCGGGCAGAAGGCTAGGTCCCAGGGTGCCTTTGGGGTTGGGATGCCAGCATGGCCGAGGCCCAGGTACCCCTCCAGGGCTCTTCCCGGCAGTGGGGCTTGCTCAGCTCCCACCCTGTGTCTCCCGGGCAGCGAGAAGAAGCTGAAGGCACGGGTGCAGGAGCTGGTGAGCGCCCTGGAGCGGCTCACCAAGAGCAGCGAGGTCCGGCACCAGCAGTCAGCCGAGTTCGTCAACGACCTGAAGCGTGCCAACAGGTGAGGGCACCCCATGGGCAGCACGCGGGAAGGAGGTGAGGGAAATGATGTACCAGGAGTCATGAAACCGACACTGGCGGGGCAGAGACCATTCCTGAAGGCTAGCGAGGGACCTGGTGTGTCGATGGCCTTCCCTAGAGTGGACCCCAAGTGGGTTTGAGTGGTCCTGGGGTGGTCTGGAGCGCGCTCTGAGCACAGTGGGGGTGCCTGGCCAGATGCCACCACACAGACTGCGGCCGGCTGACCTCCCCGTTCCCCCCAGCAACCTGGTGGCCGCCTACGAGAAGGCCAAGAAGAAGCACCAGAACAAACTCAAGAAGCTGGAGGCGCAGATGATGGCCATGGTGGAGCGGCACGAGACGCAAGTGCGGATGCTCAAACAGCGCATCGCCCTGCTGGAGGAGGAGCACTCGAGGCCACACACCAACGAGACGGCCCTCTAGGGCCCTGGCGTCTCTCACTGCCACCTGAGTGCACGGAGGCCAGGCCCCTGCTCTCTGTGCCTGTGCCACAGAGCCGCCTTCCCCTTGGCCAGCAGGAGCCCGAGGACCCACCAAGCCCTTGTCCTCCACCTCCCGCGGCAAGGCTGATGTGACCCACCGGGCTGTGCTCAAGGGCTTGGGGGGTGGGTCTCAGGGAGCTGGTATGTGGGGACCCTCAGCAGGCCCAGGACTGGGGGTAAGGGGAGCAGCTTGCCCCTCAGAGCTAGACAAGAACCATGGGTTGGGCAGTGAAGCCCCAGTGTGCGCAGCAGTGCCCAGCCCTCCTCCATGCCAAGAGCGCGCTGAGCCCCTCCCTGCAGGCGGGCGGACAGAGTGTCCAAAGCAAAGCACGCCCAGGGCAGCCCGCTGTCACCCTCTTCTCCCAGTTCCCTGGGCCACTCTGCTGTTTGTGCACCTGAGACCCCCTGGTGCCCTTGGAGAGTCCCAGTGCCACAGCGAGCTGAGTGGCTAGGCCTGTGCCATCCTCACAGCCAGCAGTGTTCGCGGGCACGGGCAGGGGCAGGGCAAGGGCTCACCTTTACGGGTCACCTGCCAGGGACAGTGAAGAGACGGACTCAAAGCCCCACAGCCACACGCGTGCTCACCCTCCCAGAGCCACAGCCCAGCCCAGGTCCCCAAGCTGCTTCTCCCAGGTGACCTGGCTCTGCAACTGGACTAATAGGAGCGGGTCTGCCTCCCCACCTCTAAGGATAAACAGTGACCTTGACGGCTTCTAAGTTCCGCGAGGACCTTCAGTCAGCTCATTGCTTCTTTCCCCCCGCCCCCCCCAGTCCAGGCTGCGGACTGCAGAGGGGCACAGCCTCAAAGGCCTTCCACTGTGCACTCGGCAGGTGACAGCACAGCCACACAGACCCCGCCTGACTGCGGCCACCAGCCCTGCACACTCCTTCGCCACATGAGGCTGCAAAGCACCCAGTTCTCACACCCACAGCCTACTGGCCCCATGGGGAAGTCTGGGGACAGCCGTGGGCTTCCCCCCACCCCAGCACTGCATCCAGGACCCCCAAGGTGACACCAGCACCCGCACAGCCGCCCACGTGGTTCTGGCCAGAGGGGATTCCTGTGGGCCACAAGTACTCCGCAGTCACTCAGGGCTCTTGGGTTGCTTTGAATTAACGCGAGGAGAAAGCCCTGAGTGACTGGGCTCACAGCATCCTTGCTAGCCATTCCCTGCCATTCCCATAAAGATGCAAACATCACACCCAGTAACTTCCCAGCTCACCTCGGCCGGCAGGGTGCCTGGGCTCTGCCTTCTGTGGCAGCCACGGCTCCATGGAACACCACAACGTGGGTATCACGTGGAACCAAGTGTTCACCCAGCGAGCCCGTGCCCCAGGTGTGTACCCAGGTCGGGTCCGTGAGCTTGGAACCTACAACCATTGCACATGCTTCAAAACCGGAGGACCTCACCTGTGGCAGCTTCCCAGCAGCTGTAACACAGGAAGCTGACGCGCCCACGCCACACTGCGGCCAAGACGGCCTGAGAACGGGAGCAGGACCGCGTTCCGCCCCCTCACACTGCACTCTGTCCTCACCAGAGGCCCTTGGCAGAAGCGCAGCGGGTGCTGCAGTGCTCGGCAGGCCTGGGCGGAGCACACAGTGGCCAGGGAGCCGTGCCCTTGTTCCTCCTCACCCCTCCCATCCTCTGGCACGACTCCATGCTGGCATGAGAGGGAGTTTCCCATTTTGCACACGCGTGGCGGGGTCTGCACCCGGACGCTGTCTCCTTCCGAGTTGCTGCTTCCGGCTGTACTGTCCCTGGTAAAGTTCTAGACTCTTTGGCCCGTATGCTTTAAACCTTCCCACATGCCGTTAGTTTTAGCTGCTGTAAAAATAGCTTTGTGTTATTTGATATTGAATCGTTTTCTTAAAAAAAATTCATTTATACAGAGACATTTATAATATTTTACAAACATTCTTATATTCTGAATAAATATTTCTAATCCCATGGCGTGCCTTACCTGTGTTGATGAAGGAGCAAGATGTCCCTGGAGCTGCTGCGTGCGCAGTGGCCGAGACGCCTGCACGGCCATCACCGCCATCACCGGCTGTTCTCCAGCACACACAGGAGCCCGTCTCCTAGGAGACCTTGTCTTCCCTCGAAAAGATCCCCACAGTGGAAACGGAACGACTGGATACCAGGAGGACTGTGGGCCAGCGGCTCCTCGGGTGGACGCAGCTACCAGCAGACTACACACCCAAAACCCTTAGCCACGCTCTCCTTTTCAAGTTTTAAAATAAAAATTCCTGATCTTACCACCACTATCTCAAAGTCCTGTTCTAGCAAAAATTCTAAAAGTGCTTGACTTCGGGACTGACGCAATAGCATAGTGGTTAAAGTCCTCGCCTTGCACATGCTGGGATCCCATATGGGCTCCGGATCTGATCCCGGCAGCTCCACTTCCCTTCCAGCTCCCTGCTTGTGGCCTTGGAAAGCAGTCAAGGATGGCACAAAGCCTTGGGACCCCGCACCCACATGGGAGACCCAGTTGAAGCTCCTGGCCCCTGGCTTCAGATCGGCACAGCTCCAGCCATTATGGCTGCTTGGGTTGTGAGTCAATGAATGGAAGATCTTCCTCTCTGTCTATCTGCCTTTCTAGTAAAAATAAATAAATCCAAAATACATGATTTTACAAAGGTTAAGTCCATGGAAAACAACTGTTCTAGTTTTTTTTTTTTTTGATTCAATACATATGCATACAAAGGGGTCTTCAAAAACTCCTGACCCAGCTTTATGAGAAGCCGTGCGTGGGTCCCCCACTGCCTGCACCTCAGGCTCCCTGCCGTGATCAGCGCTGATTCCCAGCTCAGCTCGGCGGTGGGAGCTGTCGGTTTTCAGTCTCCACAGGGCAAGCACACTGCAGCTGTCACTGACCTGTCACACAGAGGGGCCTTCTGTGGGTTCAAATGGACAGTGCCAAGCAGCAGGGCCAGGTGACGGCGGTCACCGAGCGGCCACATCATGCGGGTTTAACAACAGTGATTCACAGAAAGCCACAGCCGAAAGGCCCTCCATCTTGGGTGAAGAAATAGTGTATTGGGGAGCAGAGGAGTCGAGTACCAGATTAAGCATCCCATATGGGTTCTGGCTCACGTCCAGGCTGCTCTACTTGCGATCCAGTTCCCAGCCAATGGCCTGGAGAAGCAGAGGGAGGGCGGCCCAAGTGCTTGGATCCCTGTACCCCCTGGCTGCTGCAGACTGAGGAGTGAGACAGGCGAAGGGCCTCTGCCCTCTGACTGCAGATATCTAGACGCATGCTCCTCATGTCAGAAAGCCTTGGAGAAGGCAGTCACTGTGCAGCCGATGGCAGGTGCTGCTGACCCTGGGACTGCAGGGACACACAGCTCCCTGACAGCAACTCTGTCCCGGCTAAGTCTGTGACAATTGATCTTTACCCTCACAGTGACACTGACAACCACAGGAAACACATCCAGTAACTACACAATGAACCTGCTCCTGTGGTTTCAATTTTCCTACACATGGCGACCAGAATAGCAAGGTGGAGCCTCATCACAACAGGGACAGAATCCGAGGGTCCCCAACACGTACAGAGGGTCCCCACCGTGTACAGAGGCCTCCAGGGTAGCTCAACAGGCTAATCCTCCACCTGCAGTCTCGGCATCCCACAAGGGCGCTCTACATCCCATCCAGCTCCTGCTAATGGCCTGGGAAAGCAGCGGAAGATGGCCCACATCTGTGGGAGACCTGGAAGAAGCTCCTGGCTCCAGCCCAGCTCAGCTCTTGCCATGGCAGCCTTCTGGGGAGCAAACCAGTGGATGGAACAGCTCTCCCTCTGCCTCTCCCTCCTACCAGGCAGAGTAATCAAACCCCGACACTTACTGGACGGCAGTTGCACAGGCAGCCTCTCCCGTCAGGACGAGCTGCAGGAGGATAAGTGGGGGTGTGGGAGACCCGTCCCCTCAGCAGCTCCTCCCCTGCGCACCCCACCTCCCCCAGGGCCCTGTGCCTACACAAGCAGGCCTGCCCCACTTGCTAGGGATACTCCCCAGGGACGGCCAAGTTCAGGATTGAATCAATGGGACGTGGATTGCAATCACCTGTTGGGGTCTCCCTTGGGGGTCCCCATCTGTCTGCAGCATGAGCCCCTGAGGAGCAGCAGGAAGCTGCCCTAGCACTGTGCCCACAGCTGCTTGCACTGAGGCTGAGGCCACTCGGGCAGGTGTCTAGGACCCCCACCTGGGTGGACACCCATCCATGGCCCGGGGCTCAGGTGACACGCCCCCACCCCAGCCACACCCACTCACAGCGGCAGGTTCACAGGGCAGCTGGCAGACCAGACAGTTCTGTTCCATACACAGGACCAGGTGACGGGGCAGGGCACTCAGTGGCTGTTCCCTGGTCACTCACATCAAGGAAAATGGCGCACAGATCTTCAACCTGCACTGAGACACTGGCCAGCAACCCAGAAATAAGCCAACTACAACCCTGGCAAGGCCCTCCTCGAGAAGCAGCAGCAAGCAGCAGAGCGTGGCCAGAGCAGACCACTCTGTGAGAGGGGCTTGTGTAGACCACCTGCCAACGCAGACCACCGCACGCACGAGTCCCCGCAGCACCCTTTCCTCGGGGCACTTCTGCTCGGCGGCAGTCGAAAACAGTCCCTGAGCACAGGACATAACCACAGCACGGGAGCTGACGTGCTCTCCTTTAACCCAGAGCAGACGCCAGAGCGACCATTCTAGAACACGAAGTGGCAGCCAAGGCCTGTCGGAGCTCTAATCTGAAACCTTGCCACCCAAACGCGGTGGAGAGGTCTTGACGAGCCACGCATGAGCAGCGTGCAACAGGCCAGCCTGCAGGATGAGGCCCCTAACTGCTCTCCCAGCAACGTGCGCGTCCCTCAGGACAGGCACAGGCCCAGGAGTGCTCCTTCCTGCTCCCCACTCCTCTCAAGCTGGAGCAGCAAGGGGGCCTTTCCTGCAACCAGGAAATGCAAGTGTGCCCCCCCCCCCAGTCTCCACTGTGATACCTGGTGGGAAAGCTGGCCTTCGAGGGAGCAAAGGTCAACTCAAAAAATTCTGAGTCAGGCCTGGCACAGTAGCCTGGCAGCTAAAGTCCTCGCCTTGCATGTGCCAGGATCCCATATGGGCGCTGGTTGTGCCTGGCTGCTCCACTTCCCCTCCAGCTCCCTGCCTGTGGCCTGGGAAAGCACCTGCATGGGAGATCCTCCTGGCTTTGAATCGGCTCAGCTCCAGCTGCTGCGGCCGCCTGGGGACAGCCTGGAGGGTCCTCCTCTCTCCTCTGTCTCTCCTTCTCTAAATCTGACTTCCTAATTAAAAGTATATATATATTTTAAAGATTTATTTATTTTCATTGAAAAGGCGGATATACAGAGAGGAGGAGAGACAGAGAGGAAGATCTTTCGTCCGATGATTCACTCCCCAGGTGAGCGCAAAGGTCGATACTATGCCGATCCGAAGCCAGGAGCCTCTTCCGGGTCTCCCACGCGGGTGCAGGGTCCCAAAGCTTTGGGCCGTCCTCGACTGCTTTCCCAGGCCACAGGCAGGGAGCTGGATGGGGAGTGGAGCTGCCAGGATTAGAACCGGCGCCCATATGGGATCTCGGGGCATGCAAGGTGAGGATCTTAACCACTGCGCCACTGCGCCGGGCCCAAAAATATATTTTTTTGAGCAGGCAGACCTACCAGCAGGAAAACAGAGATAAAAAGCCAAGAGGGCATGACAGGAAGAGAAAGCCCCCAGCAGGAAGTTTGGTTTCGATAACTGCCTTCGCTGCCCTTGCTATTTACAAAGTTACTATTGAAGACCAAGAGGAAAAGGGACAAAGGACAGTCCACACGCACACAGGCCCCAGCGGTGGCCATCCTCAGGGGGCAGAGCACGGCTCCGTCCACACGCACACGGGCCCCAGCGGTCCCCACAGTCTCTGCTCAGGGAGCACTGGCCATCCTCAGGGGGCAGAGCACGGCTCCGTCCACACGCACACGGGCCCCAGCGGTCCCCACAGTCTCTGCTCAGGGAGCACTGGCCTTCCTCAGGGAGCGGAGCAAGGCACTCATGTAGCTCTGACTTCTTTTATTTCGTACGATATACAAACAACTGAAGCTTTCAAAAGAAAACATATCAACTCGCTCTTATAGCATAAAATTAATTTTGCTATATCTTCATTATATTCCTTAATTGATATTTAATAGAAAAATAAGGACATCTAAAGCTCAAAATAGCAAACAAGCACAATTTCTGACAACACTGGGAAATTTTAGCCTCTATATTAATAGAAAAGCCCACCCCAATTTCCCCCTAATTCAGTCTCGCCCTGACGGAGGTGCGGGCAGCAGCTGGCATCCCAGGAGGCTGACGCCAGTCACTTGCTATTCCTGAACAAGGACTGCTGGATGCATGTAACTGTACCCTTATCTTCTGGATGACAACAGTTAAGTGTAACAACAATTCATTAACATTTTGTAAATAATTAACATTACACTTAAAAGCACCTACAGAGGTTCAAAAAAAAAAATAACAAAATAAGATTCACAGTGCACCGTAACTTGGAACCAAAGAACACGTAAGGAGTGAACCCAACACACAAACGATGCCCGGCCGCCCACTGGCCCCGCAGCCTCCCTCGGCTGCGGACAGCTCCTCGCCAGGGCCACGCCTGTGCGAACGCCAAGCTCTGCATTCAGATGAAGAGCTGGGAAACCCACCCCACAGGCCGCAAGACTGCCCAGCGCATCGCCTAGCACGCACACACTAAGCACGAGGGAGGACTCACCCAGCAGGCAGCACTGCCTTGACAACTCAACAGGGATCTGGAATGCTGGGACCCACGGTCAGTATGGCTCAGGAAGACCCAAGCAAAGCAGCCACATTTCTGGGAAAAACAGTGAATGCCCCCAGCGCCGCAGCATGCACTAAAGGGCAGTCACACACACAGAGCGGGATTATGGGTAGGCCAGCTATAAATGCGCCGTGACTCGGCACCAAGCACACACTCCAGGTGACTCCTGATGGCAGCGCCCCGCACAGAGGCCCTGGAGGCCATCTGCACACGCACAGATTCTGTGGACAGCACTTTGCCCACAAGAAGGAGGCAGAGACATGCACAGCCCCACTCTCCTGGGAAGCTGGCTGCAGCCGAAACGCTGCGGCCCCTGAAGCCTGGGGCCCCTCCTCAGACGGGCACTGTCACCTTACCTGGTACCTCAGAAGGCTCAAGGCGCAAAATGCATTCCCAGGACGTATCAGTGGCCACCCAGCCTGTCCCCTGCCTCCCCCGGGGGCCCCTTCAGCTCCAGCACCCAGGGCTTCAGCAGACTCTGCAGCCGTGTTGGGCTGGAGCCCACCACAACGCCAGCGTCCAGAGATCAGCACAGAGGAACACAACCAGAGGGAGGCATTCCCGTTCTGGGGACATTCCTACAGGCATTCCCCTGTAGGAATGACAGCATGGGAGGCACCAGGGAAAGGCAGGTCCAAAGCAAGCACTGTGACCAGGCTGTGTGCCCTCCACGCTACAGGCCCGCCTGCACACGGCACCCCCGCCCTGGCTGCGCTCAGGCACTTCAGGCCGCAGACCCCATTCCAAATAAACCGTCTGGAGACGCCGACGCAGGAGCACTGGGGAGCCCTGGCGGAGAGCGGCTCTGTGCCACGTGGGGGAGAACCAGCCACCTCCACGCAGGACCCGTGGCCTGATGCCTGTGACATGTCGGCGCCCGTGTTCATTTCACAACCAGGTATTCTTTCCTTTAAAAATCTCAGTATAAGAACACTTTTCAATAAAAGCAAACCATCATTGCAAGCACTCCAATGGGCAGAGGGTGCCGCCCAGTCATCTGGCTGCTCGGGGATGTCTCAAATCTTATTTTCTTGACCAGAATACAGAGTAAAACCCAACTACACAGAAACAGCTTCCTCCCAGAGAGGAACTAAGCTTGCTGCAAACACTGGTTATGAAAGTCAGTGCGGGGCACACGGCGACCACACTGTGCCCCCGCACTTCTGGAGAACACCTGAGAAAGGCGAGGCCTGACACCCCCACTCTGATGTGTGGTCTCAGATCCGGTGGACCCTGCTGGCTGTCAGGGGTCCAGGATCCTCATGATGGCATTATGGTCAAACTTGAAGCTCAGGAAGGCTCTGGAGGAGAAGGGGAACGCGCAGTGTCCATTGCAGGCTGCGGCCTGAGCCCCAGGGTGCTCGAGCGGTGGGTCTTCGCCGGAGCAGGGCGGGTCGTACACAGCAGCATCTGGGAGACAGACACGAGTGAGTGCAGGCACCTGCAGAGCACGCGACCCCACTGCTTCCGTGTGACTGACAAGCTTGTTCCACACCTAGCTCGAACGTACGCTGCACGAAGATGCGCTGGTGTTGGGGTCCATCACCATTACACCCCCTCCTACACAGCAGCGTTCGGGGGCAGCCACTGGGGGGAGCCGGTGAGGCAACAACAACAACTACAAAAAACAAAAGAGCAGAGCCCTGACAGGGAAGGTGTGGCATGACCGCCAGGAGCCGGGCAGAAAGGGGCCTCCAGAGCCAGAACCCCGTCACGCTTGTGGCTGTTTAGCAGTGAACCAGCAGTTGGAAAATCAATCAGTCTCTCTCTCCCCGCCTCTATCTCTCATCATACACAGAAATGACCTTCAAACAGCGAAGCTCAACTCTACCAGCCGCACCTGGAGCTCTCGCAGGAAGAGCTCCTGACATAAGTCTGGGCCTGGACACACCTTTCAGGTGACACCAAAAGAAGTGATGAGGCAACACACAGGAGGGAGACATGCAAGCACAGCCCGCTGCCCACAGGGCAATGACTGTGGTCCTGCCTGCTCGGCCCGCTGCCCACAGGGCAGGGACTGTGGTCTGGCTCTCCATTTCTGAGACTCGGTTGTGTCTCGCTGGAATCTCCGGTGATCTAAAACAGCACCTGTGCCTCAAGTGACACCCACTAAATCCCGTTACTAACCACTTTCACTGGCGTTAGTTTCCAAGCAACACACTTGTCTCCACAGGACACCTTCTGAGAAGGCTGCCCCAGCACCCCCTTGGGAAGCAAACATCATTAGCTCCAAACAAGGGGAACCCGTTCTGAGGCCCACTTGGTTCCCACTACTCTGCACAGCTCAGTCCACCCACTCCCAACACGCGCGCCAAGTCCACTGGCACTGACAGAGGAGCAGCTGGTCAGCCGCTCTGGGGCAGCCAGCTTCCTGCGGACAGAACTCCACGAACATGGACGTGGGAGGGGCGCCACAGCTCCGTCTGCCACAACAACACACATCTCACAAAGCAGATTTTAAATAGAAAGTAACTTGCCTGCTTCAAAGTTATCCTGAAGTTTCCGTGGATGAAGTTTCTTTTCACATTTCTAAAAGGTACAAACACACACGAAACAGTGACTGCACTGATGAAAAATCAGACATATGTCACCTAATTTTTCAAACAGGAAATTAAGCTGGGAATATAATCACTGTCCCCATTCTGTTATCTTTCTTTGCCTGTATTCACCTTACATGAAGCTTCATACTTGCTTAGTTCTTCACTGCCTGTGTATTGCAGAAACATCAGTGTAACAAGCTAATCCTCCTATGGCACCGGAACCCCTATGGGCAATGGTTCTGCCCCGGCTGTTTCACTTCCAATCCAGCTCCCTGCTTAGGACCCAGGAAAACAGTGGAGGATGGCCCAATCCTTGGGACCCTGTGGGAGATGCAGAAAAAGCTCCTGCCTTCAAACCAACTCAGTCCTGGCCACTGCAGACATCTGGGGATGACCCCATGAAAGGGCCCTTCTGTTTCTCAATATATGTGCCTTTCCAATCAAAATAAACAATCTTTAAAATAAAGAACAGGGTCCTGCACAGTAGCCTAACAGGGTTAAAAGTCCTCTCCTTACATACACCGGGATCCCATATGGGCGCTGGTTTGAATCCTGGCGGCCCTGCTTGCCATCCAGCTCCCTGGAATGGGGAAGCAGTCGAGGACAGCCCAAAGCCTTGGGACCCTGCACCCGTGTGGGAGACCTGGAGGAGACACCTGATTCCTGGCTTCCGAACAGCTCAGCTCGGGCCATTGTGACATCTTGGGGAGTGAGCCAGCAGATGGAAGATCCTTCTCTCTGTCTCTCCTCTCTGTAAATCTACCTATCCAATAAAAATAAATAAATCCTTAAAAAAATAAACTGAAGTTTTTCTGGGGTCTGTGTCGTTGTGTAGCAAATTAACCTGGCACCTAGAGAGCTGGCATCCCAAACGGGCAACAGTCTCAGTTCCAGCTGCACCACTTCTGATCCAGCTCCCTGCTGATGCATCTGGAAAAGCCACGCAGGACGGCCCAGGCGCCTGGGTCCCTGCCCCGCCGGGTGACTCCGAGGACGCTCCTGGCCCGGCCCGAGCCACTGCAGCAGTCTACTTGGGAGTGAACCAGCAGGTAGAGGACTTAACTTTCTCTCACCCTCTGCGCTGTATCTCTACCTTCCAAATAATACATCATGGAGTTACCCCAACTATTAGCATAATTAAAATGTGACTTAGAAAAATATACACATAATATCCCATGAATGACTGTATAAATAGGTCTGGGTGCATGGTTTTCAGGTTAAATTTAAATAGCCATACGAAAACAAACACTAGCTATGCAAATTCATCAGTGTCTCACACCTAAAACTCGGCGTGTCCGGAGTCCGCGCAAGTGTAGGCTGGCCTGAGTGAGTTCCATCCAACCCCACGGCTCAGTACTAGGACAAGAAGAAAGCGAGTCCCGGCCAGGTGCCCTGGGGATGACCGCACTCTCCTATAACAGGGCCCTGGGCAGGACCACACGCTTACCGGCAGGGGGTTCTGCTGCTTGGCCAGCTGGCTATGGGTCCCATTTGTCCTTCTCTTGGGATTAGGCGAGTCCTGGTACTGTTTTCTGCCATTTCCCCTCGTATTTGGATTCTGTTTTTCCAGTAAGAATAAAACATGACCAGGATGAACTGCACAAAGCAGACCCAGCAACAGGCCAGACTGCAGCAGGAAGCTCAGCAAACATGCTCCCATGTCCCCAGCAGCCTACACGTGCACCTGGCCCTGGGCTGGCCCGTGTGCTCCCATGTCCCCAGCACAGCTGTGCTGCACCTGGCCCTGGCTTCTTTCTCAGGTGAAATGTGCACTCACCCCAACGCCCAGCACACAGCCTGCACCTTCTCCCATCTTCTCTGACTGGGCTCTGAACGGCTGTCTCCACTAAGGTGCAGACACCAAACCCACATCCAAGGTTGACCTCCCAGAAACCCTACAGCAACAGCACCTCGGACGTCCCCACAAATCTACTGAGCTTGTGGACAAGCCAGACACAGAGCCCAACACATCGGATTTGTTTCTTGGGTGTTTGTTTCACAGGAGCCAGGAGAGACGGCAGGCGGCAGATGAATCATCAGGAATCACCTTGACTGGCGTCTCTGCCCTCTGCAGAGGCCCCGCCTCCCTGCTTCCTTTCGGGGGGGGGGGGTGCTGTTCCCTTCCTCTCCTCCCCGCTCACCTGGTCACTTCGCAAATAAACTTCTCCGTCTCAAAAAGAAAAGTCCTTATCAAGGCTGTTTTTCAAATTTGCGCCACTATAACTAAATTTCAACAAGGAATCTAATCTTGCAGTAGTTACATCTTGTTAACACGATTAATTCTCCCACGAGACACTGGGCCAGCATTTCACAAGCAGCCACTCTGAGCATGCCGAGGCCAGGCTCCTGTCAGTGGGCCTGCTGTGAGACAGGCAAACTACAAGGCAATGTGATGGCACCCGGCTCTTGGCTTCAGTCTGGTGCAGCTCCTGCCATTTTAGGCATTTAGGCAGGGGCCAGCAGGTGTAACACATGTCTGTTTTTCATATAAAACTAAAGTGAGCCCACACAGGGGCACACCCTCTCCTGGCAGAGTCTGTTTTTCCAGTCTGCCTTCCTGCCAACGCACAGCATGGCGGCGGCAACTGACACTCCAGTACTCGGGGGCTCCCCATGTGGGAGACCCAGCGGGAGTTCCTGCCTCTCACCCTGACCTGACGCAGCTCCAGCAATTATGGGCGCTAGAAAAGTGAAGCTTTTTCCTGTTCGAAACTTTTTAAAAAACCCCCAAAGTCGCTGGCACTGTGGTAAGCAGATAAAACGACGGCTTACCTGATACCAGCACCCCAAATGTATACCAGCCTGTGCCCTGGCTGCCCCGCTTCCGATCCACCTCCCTACCCGTGTGGGAGACCCGGGTGAAGCCCCTGGCTCCTGCCTTCGGCCCGGCCCAGTGCTGGCTGTTGTGGCCATCTGGGCAGTGAACCAGCAGAAGTAAAAACGCTCTAACTCTAAACATGAATTTTTAGTTCAAGAAACTTAAGTTCAGCTGTAAGCACACAATCTTTCAAGTATTTATTTATTAAATATGTTGAAAGGAAAGTCATCTCTGAGCAGATTCAGCAGTGGGCTAGGACAAAGCTGGGAACCAGAGACAGTCCAGCCCTCCCTTGGCAGGGACCCACGTGTGCCTGCTGCACGCTGCCCCCTGGCATGTCGGTAGGATCCCAGAGCCCTGCCCACCACCCAGAGTGCCATGACAAGTAATGCCAAGTTCCTGAGCTGAGAGGAACTACAGAGCCAAGGTCTCCGAGCTCCTGGAACGCTGTGAACACACACCACTCACCTTGGCTTTCAGGAGGTCCGACAGCTCGGGCTGACCACTGAGCGGCCTCTGCGGCGGCGGCTGCCGGGGCCTCACCCACTGGTCTCCGGGCACACCCTCGGGAAACAGCTGGTGGCTGGGGCGCAACCTGGTCCGACTAGAGGAAAGTTTCAAACACAAAAGTCAGAACCAGTGTTGCCACTTAAATACATATATTTTTTTTAAATTTACTTTCAGATTATTTGAAAGGCAGAGAAAAGAAGAGAAAGAGGCAGACAACTTCATCCACTGGTTTCACTTCTAAATACCCACCACAGCTGGGCGGGCCTGGGGCGGGGACACAGCCGTGAGCCCTGAGCTCCACCAGGTCTCCATATCGGGGCAGGGACTCAAAGACTTGAGCCAGCAGGTGCCGAAAGAACTGGGCCTGAACGCAGGAACTCTGGGATACAGCCTCCTGACCACCTGGACAAATACCTGCCCCAGGCAAGGGTCTTCCAACACCTTGCCAGTCTATCTCCCCAAGTGTATACTTCCTTTTCATATTCTGCCCCGGCCAGCTCCCCCGCTGGAGTGTAGCCCCAGAAGGGAGATTTCCATCTGCTCTGTTCCCAGCAGCCTGGAGCAATGAGCAGTAACCACCTTGAATGAATGAATAACCTGTTATTTTCATGATCAGTTCTACATTGCCCCTACACCGGGGAGGGGACATCAAGCTCACAGACCAAGAAACCATCTGTGTGGCCCTGCACGGCGACCACGGGAGCATTCCAGAACTCAGCACATCTACGCCAGGAGAATATTAAGTCGGTAATTCTCATGGCCTGCAAACGATGTTAAATATCCAAATGGTCCTTGGCAGAAAAAAGGCGCCCCATCCGTAAGAGATTAGTCTTAAATTTTAGAAAGAGAACAATGATTTCTAACCATTAAAACAAACACACGTAACATTTTTTTCTATTATAGTGCCAGACAGACAACTCCTGTTCTTGACAAGATGCTGCACGTACAGTGTGCTCCTGTCAGCGTGCCTAGGGAAGCAGCCACGCTGCAAGAGGCTGTGAGAAATTAAGGCATCTTCAAGACAGCAATGAACACGTGAATTCGCCTGGTTTTTTTTTCAGATCTATTTTAGGGTCCAGCACCATGGCCTAGTGGCTAAAGTCCTCACCTTAATCGTACCAGGATCCCAGATGGGTATCAGCTCTAATCCCCACAGCCCTGCTTCCCATCCAGCTCCCTGCCTGTGACCTGGGAAAGCAGTCAAGGACGGCCCAAAGCCTTGGGACCCTGCACCCACGTGGGAGACCCAGAGGAAGTTGCTGGCTCCTGGCTTCAGATCAGCGCAGCGCCCGCCACTGCACTCATTTGGGGAGTGATCTTTGTTTCTCCTCCTCTCTGTATATCTGACTTTGTCATAAAAATACATAAATCTTTTTAAAATATATGTTTTATTTTTACTGGAAAGTCAGATACACAGAGAAAGAGATACAGAAAGATTTTCCATCTTCTGGTTTACTCACCAAGCAGCCAAAATGGCTGGAGGTGCACCAATCCAAAGCCTGGAGCCGGGAGCCTCTTCCAGGTCTCCCACATGGGCACAGGATACCAAAGCTTTGGGCCGTCCTCGACTGCTTTCCCAGGCCACAAGCAGGGCGCTGGATGGGAAGTGGGGCTGCCGGGATCAGAACCTGCGCCCCTATGTGATCCCGGCCAATGTAAGGCGAGGATTTAGCCACGAGGCCATCATGTCAGACCTGAATTTACCTATTTTTTTTAGAGATTTAAATATTCATTTGCAAGAGTTAAAAAGAGGGAATTAGCTAAAGGCAGATCTTTTTCTTGCAAGATCACTCCGCAGCAGGCTGCAACGGGCGGGCGGGGGAGCAACTCAAGCCAGCAACTGCACCAACACCTGCCACAGGGATGCAGGAGCTCCAAGACTGACGTCACTCCCGCTGCTCCCCCAAGCAGGTTTGCATGGAGCTGGATGAGTGCAGGAGCCAGGAAGCGGGCGGGCGCCCACATGGGATGCCAGCGTCACCTCCATGTCACTACGTCAGCCCATGAATTTCCTTTACCTCAATTTTTCCACAGTGGGTTTGGCTGGCGTGTTACCAGCCGAAGAGAACCCATTGTCACTGTCCGAAGAATCTCCAAATCGTCGAGCAAGCCAGTCCCTTAACGGCCTAGGAAACAGTGACAATTTCATTTTAAAATTCTGCCTCTAGGAAAATCACCCCAAGCCACGAAGATACTTCTCTATTTCAGCAGACAAGAACGCACCTGATAAAGGGAATCGCCATGAAAAATTTGTTAGGAGCCAAGCCAAGTTTGGACTTTGGTGTCATATCATTTCTGTGACAGGGCAACTTCTCAATAGAGAACCACTCAATGTTCTGAAAACAGAAACACACAATTCATCCTGTTCATTATCAAGAACATTCTAGAGGAAACGTCCTAACTCTTGCAATACTGACTATGGCCAGCAATCAAAAAAGAGTTTCAGATATTACATACCCGAATTTCCCTTCTCGTTTTAGGGTTAAATTTTGTGTCTTTAGGAATTCCTGGAATGATGTACAAACGAGCAAGCTGGTCATTGATTCGAAGTTCAATATAATCATCCTTACAAATATAGTCCTTGATATCAAAGCCAGTTTCTTCAAATACCTGTGAATAACAAATTTGGATATTCTCAGTTTCAGCTGTTAGATCTCCAGCTCAATAAAATATTTCAAAGACAAGCACGAACGCACTAAGCAGAGGGTGGGCGGCTCCCACGGCCACCTGAGCTCTGCCTCCAGGGACTGCTGAGAGCATCTTCCCAAGCCAGGTCAGCATTCCTGCCAAGCCCAGCACTCCCCATGCGGTCCTAAAGTAAGGCAGGAAGCACAGCACGGGGTCCATCATGATTCCGGCCACACAACTCAGATTTTTTAAAAGATTTATTTATTTTTATTGGAAAGGCAGATTTACAGAAAGAAGCAGAGACAGAAGTATCTCCCATCTGTTGATTCACTCCCCAACGGCCACCGTGCTTTGGCCAGGTCTCCCAAGTGGGAGTAGGGAGCCAAGGACCTGGGCCGTCCGCCGCTGCTTTCCCAGGCCACAGACTGCGAGCTGGATCAGAAGTGGGGTCACCAGGACAGAAATCAATGCCCCTATGGGATGCTGACACTTGCAGGTGGAGGATTAGTCCATTTGAGCCACCATGCCGCTCCCAACAGAACTCGAATTTATACAGATCCTGAGCTCATGATTTTTCAAACATCTGAAAACTGAGCTGTTGCTAATACACGGTTCTAATCCCGGCAGCCCCGCTTCCATGCAGCTCCGGTGGCCTGGAAGAGCAGCCGAGGACGGCCCGAGCCTTGGGACCCTGCGCCCACGGGAAGACCCTGCACACGGAAGAGGCTCCTGGCTCCTGGCTTTGCACTGGCACAGCACCAGCCATTGCGGCCACTTGGGGAGTGAATCAGTGGACAGGAGATCTTCCACTCTGTCTCTCCTCCTCTTTGAATAGCTACCTTTACAATAAAAATAAGTAAATAAATCTTTAAAAACATTTCTTCATTTACAACTTGTGCTGTAGAATAACTGCTGACATGCAAACACTGAAGTCCACATCTCTCCCGGAACAGAGTTCTGAAGGCTCACTCTGCAATCTTGACATTTACACCACACGGCAAAGCACGTGACGCTGCAGCCCCACGGATCAGCCCCACACGTGCTGCGGTCCATGGAAGCTGTGAAGAGAACAGCTCCCTGCTTGGCAGGACCCAGGGGAGCTTCCAGCTGTTTGCCAGGAGCCAGCAGATTTCTGACCACCTTGACATGGTTTCACCCCCTTTTTGCATGGAAACTCCACCACCCCACTAAGAATCCTGTAATCTACTGAGGCATTGTTGTCTGCCCCTGTGAGATGGTTTTTGCAACCCCTGTGAGCTTGGGAGTTAATGTCACTGATAATGTCTTGCTGAGTGGGCCTTTGACAATTTACACACAAAAGCACAATTAAGCCCATGCCATTTCTGGACAATTTACTGTGTGTTAACCATTGCCTCGGAATCTGGCCCAGACATGTAGCACACCTTCTGGGAAAGGGCTTGATAAATATCCTAAATATTAATGCGAGTGATGGGAGTGAGAGCTGAAACTGCCAAGGCAATAAATAGTTATTGTTATCTCAAAGCTTAGTCTGTCTTTGCATAGAAAATGTAATTGGTTTAGCTGCTTTTATAATTTTTAGTTAGAAGAATTAAGAAATTAAGGAAATATGCTTTTAATTATTGTTTTATTGTTTATAGGGTTGTAGAGGGATTTAACATTTGAGACTTCTGTCCTGGATTTTACGTTTTTTTCCCTTGTAACCTATTTTCCCATTAAATGATGGGTGAATTGTAGAAATAGAAATGTGGTGGGAAAGTACTACTGATTAGCAGGTGATCGCATGTGCCTTGGCCTTGAAGTCCTGGCTGTTGCTCCATGGCTGCTGTTGAAGAATAAATAATAGCTTGCTTTGAAGAATATGAATACACTACTTTGCAGAATTATCTTTAGGGGCACTTGCTTAGCCCTGAAGTGCAGACGGAGTGACCAAATGTCTGTACATGCCCTCTTAGTCTTGAAGTAAAAATAGAACAATTAGTTGTTTGTGTAAGGGGCTTGTAATGTGTCTGAGTAAATAAAAAGGACAGCTTCTTCTTGAGCTGGAGCAAGAGCGCACAAAGTGACAGTGTCCATGTCATTCTTTATCGCCGACTCCACGCACCCTTCCCGAGCTCCGAACTCAGCTGGAGCTGGACTCCGGCACACACCCAGCCATGCTCACAGCTGAGCATTCCCACTGCAGCAAAGTTCATGCTTCTCAGCTGTCCCCTTCCTTTGAAACCAAAGTGTACGCCACAAGGCTGGACCTGTAATGTAGTGGACAGAGCTGTGGCCTGCGGTGCCGCATGAACTAAGCCCCTGCTTGTCTGCCTGGGAGGGCAGCAGGATGGCCCTGGTGCTTGGGATCCTGCACTCACGGAGGACACAGAGGAACCTCCTGGCTTCACACAGACCCTGCTCTGGCCACCGCAGCCGATGGGGAGTAAATCAGCAGATGGACGATTTTCTCTGTCTTTCTCCTTTCTAATTTTGTCATTTAGATAAATATTTTTACTTAAAAGGCAGATGTTGGGCCCGGCACGATGGCGCAGTGGTTAAGGTCCTCGCCTTGCACACCCGGGATTCCATATTAGTGCCGGTTTTAATCCCGGCAGCCCCGCTTCCCTTCCAGCTCCCTGCCTGTGGCCTGGGAAAGCAGTCGAGGATGGCCCAAAGCTTTGGGAACCTGCACCCGCGTGGGAGACCCGGAAGAGGCTCCTGGCTTCGGATCGGCATAGCATCGGCTGTTGCGCTCACTTGGGGAGTGAATCATCGGACGGAAGATCTTCCTCTCTGTCTCTCCTCTCTATATCCGCTTTTCAAATAAAAATAAAATAAATCTTAAAAAAAAAAAAAAAAGGCAGATGCCACAAAGAGAACACCTCCCATCCACTGGGTCATTCCCCAAATGGCCGCAACAGCCACAACTGAGCTGAGCCGAAGCCAGGAGCCAGGAGTCTCGCCCAGACCTCCGCTGTGCGTGTCATTCTCCACTGCCTTCCCAGGCCGTCACGGGAAGCTGGACAAGAAGTGAGATGGTGCCCATATGAGACACCAGCACCGCAAAGCAGAGAATTAGCCTAAGACAAGACCATTCCAGCCTCAAATAAGTCAATCATTAAAAAATACAAGTAGCAGCAACCACCAGAGTCAGAGCTTCCACGCTCGGGATTAATCTACCCATCACAACTGAGAATGGTTTACTTAACACGTCACTCAGCTCTGACAGGTAACACTTTATTTCCTGATCAAACACATCGTTCCCAAAGGGAAAGCATAGACCAGAGGGACTCCACACACCCACCTTTAGGACATGTGCCTCAAGAGAACATTCGACTCAACTTTAACACAAGCAAGTGTCCAAGGCAGTGGCTAAGTTATGGCTGCAATGCATGCGTCACATAGCCCAGTGCCTCGGCGACAGGTCCACCTCCATTTCCAGCAGCTTTCTGCTAACACACATCCTTGGTGGTACCCAGTGTCAGGGCGGGAACCTGAAACCCTGCGTGCAGTGAGATGGCTCAGTGGCTAAAGTCCTCGCCTTGAACATGCCAGAATCCAAAGCAGGCATGGGTTCATGTCCCGGCTGCCCCACTTCCCATCCAGTTTCCTGCTTGTGGCATGGGAAAGCAGTGGAGGACGGCCCAAAGCCTTGGGACCCTACACCCACATGGGAGACCTAAGAAGCTCCTGGCTTCAGTTTGGCCAATCTGGCTACTTGGGGAGTGAACCAGTGTACAGAAAATCTTTCTTTCTGTCTTGCCTTCTCTATAAATCTGCCTTTCCAATAAACAAATCTTAAAAATGGGGGTGGGTGGGGCATGGTAGCCTAGTGGCCGGGGTCTCGCCTTGGATGCACCAGGATCCCATATGGGCGCTGGTTCACATCCCAGCTGCTTCACTTCCCTTCCAGCTCTCTGCGTATGCTCTGGGAAAGCAGATGAGCATGGCCCAAAGCCTTGGGACTCTGCACCCACATGGGAGACCTGGAAAAGGCTTCTGGTTCCTGGCTTCAATTTGGCTCAGCTCCAGCCGGTGTGGCCACTTGGAGAGCACACCAGCAGACAGAAGGTCTCTTATGCTCCTTCTCTGTGAATCTGCCTTTCAAATACAAAAATTAAAAGACAAAAAAAAAAAAAAGACTATGCGGGAGACCAGAACAGAGTCCTAGGCTCCTGGCTTCTCCCTCAGACAGTCCTGTTGTGACCAGTAAACCAACACACAGTAAACCAACAAACAGAAAATTCTCTTAAGTAAGTGGGCAATTAACCAAAGGAGAGATTGGCAGGATAAGGTTGGTTTCCAGCATAAGATACTGACTGTCTCCAGGAATCCCTTGGACACGGACACTGTCACTTACTAGGAACCCACCAAGACAGATTCCCAAAGAACTTAAAAAAAAAAAGTTTGATATTGAAGGCCAGCACGTGCACTACTGGAACTCACTACAGAGCCGTACCCCGACAGCACAGAGCCGCACCCCGACAGCACAGAGCCGACGCTGGCACAGCCGCAGGAGGGCAGGTGGTGCTACTCGACCACAGACGAGCGTGCGCACTGAACTGTAACACCTCTTCACGGGACACGGGGAGCACGAGTGCCACGCCTGTTCACGGGAACGGGGAGCACAGAGCACCACGCCTCTTCACGTGACACGGGGAACACAGAGTGCCACGCCTCTTCACGTGACACGGGGAGCACGGAGTGCCACGCACAGGACACGGGGAGCATGGAGCGCCACGCCTGTTCACGTGACACGGGGAGCACGAGTGCCACGCCTGTTCACGGGAACGGGGAGCACGGAGAAGCAGAACCCACACTAACAAGCAGAACTGAGTCAAACACTGAGGGAACCTGGGGAAGGGAGTGCTGCCGGAAGTGCTCAGCGGACTCTTGTGAAGTTACCAGACAAAACGGAAAGTGATCTGCTTGGCAACCTAAACGCTTTCACAGGAATACAGCTACACATAAATAAAGCTGCGCTGAAGGTTCCAGACAGAAAGGTGTCAAAGGAAATGTACACAAGGATACATCCAAACCCAAAATAAGATTATTTTGGTCCAAAGCAAAACAAGCTTTTTTGAAGATTTATTTTATTTTTATTAGAAAATCAGACATAGGGCCCAGAGCAATAGCATAGTGGTTAAATCCTAGCCTTGAATGCCCCGAGATCCCATATGGGCACCAGTTCTAATCCTGCCGGCCTTGCTTCCCATCCAGCTCCCTGCCTGTGGCCTGGGAAAGCAGTCGAGGACGGCCCAAAGCCTTGGGACCCTGCACACGCGTGGGAGACCCAGAAGAGGCTCCTGGCTGCAGATGGGCTCAGCTCTGACTGTTGCAGCCACTTGGGCAGTGCATCAACGCACGGAACGTCTTCCTCTCTCTCTCCTCCTCTCTGTAATCTGTCTTTTCAATAATAAATCAATCTTCTGCCCATATTTGTCTGACAAGCAAACAAGCCCGAGGCAGAATAAAATCCACAGCAGCTCCGCATCAATCGTGTAAATTAAAGCAAAGGCACAGTCAGTCAGTTCCAGTAGAACATATTCTTCGGTCAAGTAACATCAGTACGGAACCCTGCAAGCGCAGACAGCAGGAGGCCGGACCGGAGGCCGGGTGGGGGTTCTCGGCCACTTCCCGTCCCCCCGCCTGTCCTCCAACCACGTTCTTCAGGTAGCAGTGTCATCGAAGCTACCGCAGACACTACCTGGGATAAGCTACTCCATTCCGAATCTGAAACTCAGCATTTTCGATTGTTTTTCAATCCTGCTCCATAGTAAATAATCACAAACAGTTTCTTTGGCAAATAGCCGCGGATGCTTCTAAAAGCCTAGCTGGCTCTCTAACCTAGGCTACACACGCGGCCGCCAAGGCCCGGGCCGTGGAGTCGTCCGCCCGGCCCACGGCACACTCACCTCCCGGGCCGCGCAGTCGTGAGGGGCCTCCTCTTTGTTGACCTTCCCTTTTGGAAACCCCCAGCCTGATTTCGCCAGGTAGCCCTGGACCAGAAGGACCTGAAAGGCAAGCACAGGTGGGAAGATCAGACTGTCCTCCCCCTGAAACGAGGCTGCTCCCCGCTCCCTTCCATGACTGCTGCCAGCAGGAACTTCAGGCCATGCGTCACCTCTGTAAGTCGTGCATATGCTGCCAGGGGGTGCGGGACAGCTTAACCGGCCACTTGAAAACTATTCTTCAATTACGAGGTGACCTTCTTTGCACCCAGTTGCAACAAACTTAAAATTTCAAGACTCAGAAAGCAAACAGCTCACAGAATATGGCCTTTAAGGCCACACGTTTCAAAACAATTCACAGCACCACAGGTCTTTAAACACGTGAAAAATGAACCGCCGATCACCATTCATTAAACTTTTGCTTCACTCACATTTTCAAGTGTCTCATCCAGAATGATGGCACCGTACGTCGGCACCCCCATCTTGTACTCCTTCCACTCATCCAGGACTTCCTCCACGTCTTCGCCTTGGGGCAGCAGGAACGGACAGTGACTGAAGAGTGCGGCTGTCAAGGAAGACCCCGCAACGGGCGTCCCACCCACCGCGCGAGCGCCTGCCGGCGACTCCAGGACTCTTCATCTCAGCCGAGTTTCACACTTTTGGCTTTTGTTTTCTGTTTTCTCTAAACCAACTCACTGCTAACTGCTCCATTTAACCCAGGTTTATCACGTTAGGCTCACAGTCCCACCTGAGCCAGCAGAAATGCACTGGGGAGGGCCCAGCACGGTGGCCTAGTGGCTAAAGTCCTTGTCCTAAACACGCCGGGATTCCATGTGGCTGCCGGTTCTAGTCCCAGCAGCTCCACTTCCCATCCAGCTCCCTGCCTGTGGCCTGGGAAAGCAGTCAAGGATGGCCCAAAGCCTTGGGACCCTGCACCCGTGTGGGAGACCCAGACGAAGCTCCTGGCTCCTGGCTTCAGATTGGCTCAGCTCCAGCCATTGTGGCCGCTTGAGCAGTGAACCATCAGACGGAAGATTTTTCTCTTAGTCTCTCCTCCTCTCTGTATCTGCCTTTCCGATATAAATAAATCTTTAAAAAATAAATAAATGAATCTTAAAAATAACAAACCACAACACAACAAAGACAGTACTCGGCACCCCTTTCCTCGTCTGCTTCGTCACACACTTCAACCAGTGAGCAAGGGTCTGACCCCCTTCCCTCGAACTCGCCCTCCCGTGTGCACTCTGCTGTGCCACTGCGCACAGGACCACACCGCTACGGAGCTCAAGCAGCACAACGGCGCGGGGAACACTGCAAGCCATCCTTGTGAAACAAATCTTCTGGAATGCCATCTTAAGACGGTGCCGGAACACTGTCGCTCACAGCTACCTGGAGCAGGCTGCCATCCGTGTCCTGGGAGTCCGAGGGATTCCACGACTCGCAGCCCGCAGCAAAGTGACAGAGCCGAGTGAGGCTGTCTCGGCCGTCTGCATCTGCCCGGCGCCGGTGCTAAGGACACCGGCCTCGGGGTACAGATGCATGTGATCGCACGCTGCAGGATGCAGAACAAGGACCTACAGAGCAGAAGCCAGCACGCCTTGCTCGGAGCTAAGCACCGCACAAGCCCGCTTCAGGGGCTCTCACGTGCAACTCCAAGCCAGGGCAATCTGCTCAAAATGCTTTCCTGAGAAAGTCCTTAAAACATCTACTCTTCATTTTTGCTTTCTCTGAGACAGTCTCCATTTGCCTATGCAGAAACTATTACCTTCCTTAAAAACACAGTTTTGCCTAGGCTCTGTCCATCCTTTTCTCAGACTACAGAAGCATCTAATATCAGGGCTATGAGTAATTCACTATTCTTTTGGCTTATAACTTACACTAATCTTTCGTTACTAATAAATCAGAATAAGCTTTGTCTGAAGTGCAAACGGAGCGGAAGACGTACTCAAAGACGTTGGCTTCTCTGAGCCACGGAACTGAAAACACAGCCTGGAGTGAAGCGGTCGATGACCATTTAAGGAACAGCTACACAAACCGGAAGAGCGACCACCTCCTCCTTAGGCGTGTGGTTAAAAGCAACAAGGTAAAAAACAGATCTGTTCCAAAAAACAGGCTATTTCTGAAAGAAAAGATCAAACTTAAATTTAGTCACCAGTGCACATCTCAAGTCTTCTGTATAAAAATAAAAACAGTTCAACAGTACCTGCTGTTCATGTTTGAACACAGGCAGCCGAAGTCAACAAGAGGGTCTTGTCAGGAACACCCCTGACAAGAGCGGAGACAGCAGCAAAGGATATCGGCCTTGGCGAAGTCCCTTATCCCACACGGAGGCAGTCCTGGTGTGTTCTGCATATAGAAGTCCAGGTAGAACCAGTGGGCAAGCTCGATCTGGAAGCACACTCGGATGGCATTGTCTCTCTCCTCGCTGGGAATATGCAAAATAAATCGGCTGTCAAAAAAAAAAAAAAAGAGCAAGCATTAATGTATAAGCCATAATGATTTATTTCAATCGATTAAACTGCCTTATCCTTGACCGCTCAGCCTAGGAAAGGGACTCCAGCAAGGCCTGGGCAGGGGGCAACCAGGGGAGTGAGTGTCCGAGGCAGAACACACCTACGGATCTCACACGTCACGGGTCTCACACGTCACGGATCTCACACGTCACGGATCTCACACGTCACACATCTCACACGTCACGGATCTCACACGTCACGCATCTCACACGTCACGGATCTCACACGTCACGCATCTCACACGTCACGCATCTCACACGTCACGCATCTCACACGTCACGCATCTCACACGTCACGCATCTCACACGTCACGCATCTCACACGTCACGGATCTCACACGTCATGCATCTCACACGTCATGGATCTCACACGTCACGGATCTCACACGTCACAGATCTCACACGGAAGGAGCACGTAAAAGCTCGCCCAACTCTGAAAACTGAGCAAGCAACTACGACCAGCAGTTCCTCCCAAGCTTATGTGCTCACACAGTTAAATAAAAACTATGCTTAGTATCTGTTTTATCCCCACCCACAAACATTACAGGAAACACCAAGGCAGCAGAGCTCTACACACCCTCCTCCACGCACCCCTGCTCCACGCTCCCCTCCCTCAGCGCTCCTCTCCTCTGCGCACCCCTCCCTCTGCGCACCCCTCCCTCTGCGCACCCCTCCTCCACGCACCCCTGCTCCACGCACCCCTGCTCCGCGCACCCCTCCTCTGCGCTCCCCTACTCCGCGCTCCCCTCCTCTGCGCACCCCTCCTCTGCGCACCCCTCCTCTGCGCACCCCTCCTCCACGCACCCCTGCTCCATGCACCCCTCCTCTGCGCTCCCCTCCTCCACGCACTCCTGCTCCACGCTCCCCTCCCTCAGCGCTCCTCTCCTCTGCGCACCCCTCCTCCACGCACCCCTCCTCGGCACACCCCTGCTCCACACACCCCTGCTCCACACACCCCTGCTCTGCGCTCCCCTCCCTCTGCGCACCCCTCCTCCATGCACCCCTCCCTCTGCGCACCCCTCCTCCATGCACCCCTCCTCTGCGCTCCCCTCCTCCACGCACCCCTCCCTCTGCGCACCCCTCCTCCACAGCCTCAGTTCAACCGCACCGCTATATAGAATCACCTGGAAAAACCTCAACTGTCTACTTCAAGTGTAACCAGAAAACAAGCAGAGATGTGAGCGTACTTTCACACACGAAGGTATCTCAAAAGGCTTATGAAAAATGAAATTAGGGCCCAGCGGTGTGGCCTAGCGGCTAAGATCCTCACCTTGGACACGCCAGGATCCCATATGGGCACCGGTTCTAATCCCGGCAGCTCCACTTCCCATTCAGCTCCCTGCCTGTGGCCTGGGAAAGCAGTTGAGGACGGCCCAAAGCCTTGGGACCCTGCACCTGCATGGGAGACCTGGGAGAAGTGCCTGGTTCCTGGCTTCAAATCGGCACAGTACCGGCCGTTGCACTCACTTGGGGAGTGAATCATCAGATGGAAGACCTTCCTTTCTGTCTCTCCTCTTCTCTGTATATCTTTGTAATGAAAATAAATAAATCTTTAAAAAAATAAATTAAAAAATAAGCTTATTTTGATGCAAAACATAGAAATCAACACAGTTTTTAAATATATAATAATTTTGTATTGGAAACGCAGATATACAGAGGAGGAGAGACAGAGGAAGCTGTTCCATCCAGTGATTCACTCCCCAAGTGGCCGTGACAGCCGGGGCTGAGCCAATCCAAAGCCAGGAGCCTAGAGCTTCTCCTCCAGGTCTCCCATGCGGGTGCAGGGTCCCAAGGCTTTGGGCCGTCCTCAACTGCTTTCCCAGGCCACAGGCAGGGAGCTGGAAGCGAAGCAGGGCAGCCGGGGCACAAACCGGCGCCCATGTGGGATCTTGGCGAGGACTTTAGCTGCTAGGCCACTGAGCCAGGGCCAGTTTTCAAAGTTTTAAGATGCACAGACAGCACCTCCATTGAATTGGTTCACTCTCCAAATGGCTGCAACAGCAACAGAGCCAAAATGGGAAACCAGGGATTCAATCCAAGACTCCCAGAAAGGGTAGCAGGAACCGAAGGGCTTGAGCCATCAACCGTCACCTGGGAAGCCACAATGGAGAACTGGCCACTCCACTTCCAATCCAGCTCCCTGCTCATGTGCCTGGAAGGGCAGCGAAGCACAGCCCAGGTGCTGGGACTGCCAGCAGCATGGAGCTCCGGGTGCCCGCCCAGCTTTGGCCTGGCCCAGTCCTGGTTGGCGTACCATTTGGGGACGACCAGTGAGTCTAGCCAAGACCATCACCCCGTCTCTCCAAGAAACTTCCTAAAAGCACTACCCGTTTCGATCACTTACATCACTCCCTACAGAGCTAAACGACTTAGCTGTTTCTAACAGTCCAATCAAATCTCAAGAAATTTTTAATTACAAGTGATTTAAAATTGCAACATGATAGGAGTAAGTCAGTGACAGGACAAATATACATATAGAAATATGCATTTTAACAGAAAAATTATGGAGAAAAGGAGCTTAAACCGCTGGCTTAGCAGCTAAGATGCCCAGGTCGTGCCCTAGGGTGCCAGGGTTCAGGCTGGCTCAGCTTCCCTCCAGCACAGGCCCTCCGGGCAGCAGGGACACTCAGACACCCGAGATGGCCGGGGGAGGGTGGGTTTCTGCGAACCGCAGCCCAGAGCATCCCACCCTGGGCACACTTCACAGCACGCGACACACACAAACGGCCCGTTCAACTCTGGAAAAGTACCACACCGATCCCGAACAACTTCCCAGACCCCTGGGGGCCCTGGACCACCACACTGCCCACACGACCTGTCACCCAACGGGACTGACCTCTAGGCCAGGAAGGACACACTGCTGCTGACTTTCTCAGTTGGCACTCGGGGAATTAACTCCATGCCCAGTCCCACTGCAGCCCCTCTAGTAGGCAGCAGTCTTAGCAAAGTAGCCTGCGACAAAGCACGCCTGGGCAGATGCCTTGTGCCTACACCACATACTCCTGCTCAGACAGTTCCAGGCGGGCCAGGAACAGCCCTCCCCAGAGAACTGCAGAGAGGTGGGCCACCCACCAGAGGGCACCACATCTAACTCACTCCACAAACCCAGTGTCCTGCAGAGCGGACGGATGGACGAGCAGCAGCAAGAACTGGACACTTCCGTGTAAGGCCAGCCTGAGTTCAGACCGCGCACTGGCAGCCCACGTGACCTGTCCATCAAGCCAGAGGTCCGGCGACTGGCCACGCCCAGATTCAGTCTGCACAGGCGCTCATTCACTCTGATGACCTGCCAATTAAACGGCTATCTTGCCTATTCCTACCTCACAGGAGAATTTTCCTGACAAAACAGCCACTCCACCCATCACTAACACCCCCTGCACCTTTCACTGCATCCTAGCTGATTCATTTCCCAACTCATGTCACTGACATGCTGCCACGGGCCTGGTGCTATGGCTCAATGGCTACATCCTTGCCTTCTAAGTGCCGGGATCTCATATGGATGCCAGTTCCTGTGCCAGCTGCTCCACCTGCCATCCAGCTCCCTGCTTGTGGCCTGGGAAAGCAGCAGAGGGACAGCCCAAAGCCTTGGACCCCGCACCCACGTGGCCACTTAGGGAATGAACCAGCAGACAGAAAATCTGAATCTCCTTCTCTGTATATCTGCCTTTCCAATAAAAAGCAAATAAATCTTTAAAATTGTCTTCGCCTTGCATGTGCTAGGATTCCACATGGATGACGCTTCATCTCCCAGCTGCTCCTCTTCCCATCCAGCTCCCTGCTTGTGGCCTGGGAAGGCAATCAAGGACAGCCCAAAGCCTTGGGACCCTGCACCCGCGTGGGAGACCTGGAAGAAGCTCCTGGCTCCTGGCTTCAGACTGGCTCAGCACTGACTGCTGCGACTCTTTGGGGAGTGAACCAATGACGGAAGAGTTTGTCTCTCCTTCACCCTATAACTCTGACTTTCCAATAAAAATAAGTAAATCTTGGGCCCGGCGCGGTGGCGCAGTGGTTAAGGTCCTCGCCTTGCATGCCCAGGATCCCATATGGGCACTGGTTCTAATCCCAGCAGTCCCGCTTCCAGCGCCCTGCTTGTGGCCTGGGAAAGCAGTCGAGGACAGCCCAAAGCTTTGGGACCCTGCACCCGCATGGGAGACCCGGAAGAGGCTCCTGGCTTCGGACCAGCATAGTTGCACTCACTTGGGGAGTGAATCATCGGACAGAAGATCTTCCTCTCTGTCTCTCCTCTCTGTATATCTGCCTTTCCAATAAAAAAAAATAATAAAAATAAATCTTTAAAAAAAAAAGTAAATCTTAAAAAAAAAGTTTGTAGGGTAATAAGTTCACTGACAAAATCAATTCATAGCAAAAACTGAACTGGAATTATATTGGTGCAGAAATTTCAAAATCCATGCATTTCACCATAGTACACATTTTCTATAAGCTTTCTGAAGACTACACATACACACATCTCTATCTGTGTCCTTTAAGCAAGTCAGGTGTGTTCTCTGAGTCCTGTAAACAGTTCTAGAAACTCCTTGAATCCAAAGGGGGGTTCTGAAAACCCCAACTTAGGGCCAATCTGTCAGAGTTCCGGAGACCTGGCTACTGTCTGAATGGGGGGAGTACACTCCCCTGTCAGATCTGACACTCCCAAGGACATGGGGTGCTTAGGCACCTCGCGAGGCCCGGCCCAATGACTGGCTTCCCTGGTACAGTCACAGCACGTCCTGTGTTGACAGAGAGGGCGACCAACAACTCACTCTTGTCCTGTACCCCCACGGCCACACACCACCGCTCTCTGCTTTGCATCTCCAAGGTTCGTGCTCATCTCTTGACCCATTCGTTCCTTCCTCAGGTGTCTGCATTAAAAATCTTTACAATTAAAGCCTGAGGTGGGCGCCAGGCACAGTGGTTGAGATGCCGTGTGGCATGCCCACAGTGCCAGGCTTGCAGTGGCGGCTCCATCTTACACCTGGCTTCCTGATAACACAGCCAGGCAGCAGGGGCCGCTCAAGGGCCTGGGTGCCAGTCACACACAGGGAGCCCAGCCTGAGCTCTTGGCTCTTGGCCTCCGCCTCAGCAACCCCAGCTGCTCTGGACAGTAAGGGGTGAGCCGTGGATACACAGACACGACATATGTGCATAGGTGTTGTTCTGCCTTTCAAACAAAAACAAATCTTTTTAAAAGTGTATGTATATATACAAGCAGACACAAGTTAACAGTGGAAATAAAATGGCTTCTCTAACACTGTTACGGGAAAAACCCTCCACGTTACAAGATAGCATCTTTTCAATATTCCTGCAGATGAAATGTTAGCACAGAAATGTTTCAGTAAAATCGACACTGACTCGGAAGATAAGCAGGAGCTCACCAGCCTTCACTTTCAGAACAGCGAGGACACCAGCCAGAAAACACGCTCTCCCTGGACACAAGTGCCCTTACCATCTAATTCTCCGGGAGCTTTCAAAAACTCCAAGCATAACTTCAAGAGAAAAAGCTTTCCAAACTCAAGTTCTTCAGTTACCACTTTAAAACCGGTTCGCACTTCAGTAAGCTAATTTAGTCAAAAACCCTGCTGCCAAGTCCAGAAGCTTGGTCAAGGCTGTACCTCCTTGTCGTTGTCACATGGGCATGTCTCACCAGAAAGCAACTTCTGCTACCAGAACACTAAGCCAAGGCCCCCCCACCTCTAACTGGAAAGAACCAGTGTCACCCAGTCCCTAGACGCCAGTGGCTATTCCTTCAGACCGTCAGCGCACACTGAGATCCTCACACACTCAAACGCCTGTCCTGGGGTGGGCACACAGCCTGGCAGCTCCAACACACCATCCTCACTCCTGACCAGCTCCCTGCTGATCCCAGCAAGTTCCAGTCACTGGCTGCCTTCCTGTTGCCCAGGAGGAACCTTTCACCAAATTAAAGCACGGGTATTAAAAAAACCACCTCACAATCAAGGCCAATATCACGGCGCAGGAGGTGGGCTTGTGGACCGCAAGGTTCAAGTCTCAGCTGCACTTGTGAGGCGGCTCCCTGCCCCTGCCCGAGGCCAGAAGACAGCAGGCCTCTCTGCCTTCACCTCTGACTTTCAAATAAACAAACACATCTCTGGAAAAGTTCTTTTTAAAATCTTAAAATCAAAATCATGAATTAACACAAAATCTTTACCCTACAAAGACACGATAAATATTAACTTGTAAATGCAATACATTCAAGTTTTAGCAAATGACCGGTTTGCCAAGCAGCTGGCCCTAATTTTTAAATATCCCACACCTGTACTTCTGTCTGCATCGCTAAACATTGTAACTGCAAAAGAAAGCTTTTACAGAAAAAATGTCCTGCAAGATGTATAATAGCTTAGATACACTCCCTGGCAAACCTGCACCACTTAACTCGCCGTTTACAGAACTCCACGGCGTTCACGACCTGAAGGGCCGTGAGCCCAGACGACACGGCAACGAACCGCAGCACACGCACCACAGCCAGAGCGCGGGTGGGACTTCCCGATTCTGTTTTTCCTAAAAGAATTGTATTCGCCCACACATCATCATTACGAACCTCTCCAAACACGCCTCTTGAACGTTTTCACCACCAAATGGATAGTGTGACCTGGCACAGTGGCACAGCACGCCAGGGCGCCAGTTCGTGTCCCGCCCCCCGCCCGTGGCCTGGGAGGCCGGCGAGGCCGTGGGGACCTGGAGCAGGCTCATGCGGGAGCGACCAGTGGACGAAGACCCCTCCCTTCGTGCCCCAGGGAAAATAAAGAAGCCTTAAACAAAATCTTGGAAACATGAAGAGATCGTTTGGTTGGCAACAACTTCTACCCCAGACTGACTTTGGCAGTTACGGGGAGGTCCGCCGCCGGTGCGCTCCGCAGACGGCCCCGCGGCAGGGCTGCTCTCCCGGGCCCGGGCTGCAAGTGGAGCCGCGGGACTCGAACGCGGCCCGCCCTGCCGCCCTCACAGGTGTTTTAAATCAAATTTGGCACCTGAGAGCAAAGCGCTTCGCCTTCTCCTCGGGTCACTCGGACGTATCACCCCCAAATGCCCATCCCAGCAACCCCACGTCCGGCGACACGTCGTCCCCGCCCGCCGAGCCGCGGCCCCTAACCCTAACCCTAACCCAACCCTAACCCCTAACCCCAACCCTAACCCAACCCTAACCCTAACCCTAGCCCTTGGCCTCCCCGAGGGCGGCGCTCGGGGCCGGGCAGCAGGCGGCGAGGGCCGCGGTACCTGCAGAGATCGTCCAGCACGCTGCCGGGAATCTCCACCCGCTTGGCTTCCATGCTGAGGCCGCAGAGCAGCGGCAGCGCATCCCGGCTCCGGCGCCGGGCCCCAGGGTGCGCGCCGAGGGGCAGCGGGTCCGGCCGAGGGGCAGCGAGTCCCGCCGAGGGGCAGCGGGTGCGGCCGAGGGGCAGCCCGAGGGGCAGCGGGTCCCGCCGAGGGGCAGCGGCGCCGCGGGCCGCGCGGGGAAGGGGCGGGCCGCGCGCTTCCGCCCGACCCCGGCCCGGGGCCCCGAGGCTGGGCCCGGCGCGGGGCGGAGCTCCGGAGGGCCCGCCCCCGCGTCGACTTGAAAGGCCCAATGGGCAGCCAGGGAGGCAGACGCCTGCCTACGGCCACCCAATCGGACGTTTGTTTGTTGCTCCACCGTCTCCAATCCGTCGTCAAGTTCCTCAAACGCTGTTCCCGAAAATCCACTTCCCGCCCCTGGGTCCGAGCCCCTGAGGGGACGCGCGCATGCGCGCCGTGCCCGCCCCAGCCTGGCACCGCCGGGCTCCCTTGGGGTGACGCTCTCCAGGGACTCGGGCTGCCCCTCCGCTCACCGCGAGCCCCTGCAGGGGCAGCGAGGGCATTACCCCGCCCGATCCTCGAGCCTCCGGGAGATCTCGCCCCGACCGGCCACGGCTGCCCCGGCAGAAGCCGCGCGCACCTGTTCTCTTTCCTGGTCGGCCCACAGCTGCCGCTCCGCCGCCATCCCCATCTCTTGCTCCGCGAGAAACCTTCCCAGCCTCCCCGCCCAGGCCTGGCCACCGCGCCGGGCCCTCTGGTTACTTTTCTTGGATTTCAAGGATGGTTTTTACACAGTTCAGTCATGGCGCAGGGGCCGGCGCCTGCAGTGCCAACGCCCCTGTGAACGCTGCTTTAGTTGAAGAACCTCAGTATCAAAATCCCAACCATTTGTTCATGGCTCATTGCTAAGAAACTGTGAGCCCGCAGGCCAAATGGCCTGTGCCACCTTTAGCGGCCTGTGTGACCTTTGGCGCTGAAGGGTTCCAATTCTTATGAGTCAAGGCCCACCTAAGGCCGGTTATCTCACAGGTGGCTCCAAGTAGTTAAGTGGGTGCTTCCCTTAGTGGCTGGAGGCGTGGGCTGTCCAGCCGAGCTAGGTAGGGAATGTGTGATATTTCCCTTCACCTTGCAGGCTGTTGTGAATTGCCCCTTTTCAAGCTATTGTGGACTGCCCCTATAAAAACCGTATGAATGTGCTGTTAGGGGCCACACTCCGGGAAGGGGTGTCGGTGCCATTCGGTCAGCCAGCTGCCTGCTCTCACCCAAGAACCCAGGCTCGGATGTGCTGAGCTTGAATAAGCCATCCGTGTGCACTTGGATCCACTTCAGACTCCTGCTGATTTCTGTGGGTCTGGGGACAACAGGGTCCTGTGAGTGGACTGGACGGAACGCGCGTCCACAGGCCCTCCAGGACCAGGCACCTGCCCAGTGTCCCGGGTCAGAAGCCGCTTGGAAGTCCTTTTTGGTACTTAGTGGCAGGAAGCCCCCACACTCTCAGGGCTAAGCCCTCCTGCCCACTGGCTCTCTGGCCGTGACTGCCATCCTTTTCCAGGCTGCTTCTGTACCCTGCTGCCCCCTCCGCCACCTCCTCACACACGGATTGCCAGGATTTTGATGTCCCTATGGAAGAATACCCACCAAAGCACTTCTTTGAGCCAGGTACTCCAATCCCGGTGTCCACAGACCCCAGCAGCCTTTGACTTGAAAAATGCAAAGAAAAGGGCCCAGCGCCGTGGCCTAGCAGCAAAAGGTCTTGCCTTGAGCGCGCCAGGATCCCATGTGGGTGCCAGTTCTAATCCTGGCAGCTCCACTTCCCATCCAGCTCTCTGTGTATGGCCTGGGAAAGCAGTCGAGGATGGCCCAAAACCTTGGGACCCTGCACCCATGTGGGAGACCTGGAGAAGGTTTCTGGCTCCTCGCTTCAGATCAGCGCAGCATAGGCCGTTGCAGTCACTTGGGGAATGAATCATTGGACAGAAGAACTTCCTCTCTGTCTCTCCTCCTCTCTGTATATCTACTTTTCCAATAAAAAACAAATAAATCTTTTTTTAAAAATGTAAAGAAAAAATAATAACCTAAGATGGGTGGGAGGCTGGATGAGGCTTCTCCCTTTATCTCCCGTTACCCCAGATATAGAAATAATAGTAATACTAATAATAATAGTAGTAATAATTATGTGGAAACGATAGTCTTATCCACTTTCTTGTAGCCCTTGACCCTTTGTGCCCTAAACAATTATGTAAAGATTATCAAAATGAAATAATTACAAAAAGAAACAAAATCGAGTTTGGCACTGAGGGAAATGGGGATGGGGGTCCTGAAGTGACATGAGTAATACTATTCAAATTTTGCATAGTAGGTTTGTCAAAACCCGTGCAGTTGTAAAACATGACGCTGTCTCATTCAGTCACGATAAGTACGTGGAACAAATTGAGCTTAATGGGGCTTATAAAGATTAAATGATTTACAAACCTAAGTGGTTCCATGGCAGTAGCGGGCAGGGTTTGGGAAGGTTGAGAAGAGGCTTGAGATGCCGGTTCTGTCACACGGTGCCTGCAGCCCTGGCTCCCTGCCCGCTCCGCACTGCCTCGTAACGTGCAGCCATGGCTCAAGGACCTGCGTCACTGCTGCCCGCATGGGAGACCTGGCTCAAGTCCCCGGCTAGTGCAAACCGCTGGAGAATGAACCAGTGGACAGAAGACATCTCTCCTTGTCTCTCTCTCTCTCTCTGTTTCAAATAATTATAAATAATCTTTTTTTCAAAAAAAATCCAGGGCTGGTTGGGCCCAGTGTGATAGCCTAGTGGCTAAAGTCTTTGCCTTGCATGCATCATATGGACGCCGGTTTGTATCCCAGATGCTCTACTTCCCATCCTGCTCCCTGCTTGTAGCCTGGGAAAGCAATTGAAGACAGCCCAAAGCTGTGGGACCCTGCACCCACGTGGGAGATCCAGAAGGGCTCCTGGCTCCCGGCTTTGGATTGGTTCAGTTCCAGCCTTGGCGGCAGTTTGGGGAGTGAATCATCGGATGCAAGATCTTCCTCTCTGTCTCTCCTCCTCTCTGTATATCCGCCTTTCCAATAAAAATAAATAAATCTTAAAAAAAAATCTTTTAAAAAGTCAAAGAACTTTGGGCCCGGCGCAGTGGCACAGTGGTTAAAGTCCTCACCTTGCACTCCCGGGATCCCATATGGGCGCCGGTTCTATCCCGGCAGCCCCGCTTCCCTTCCAGCTCCCTGCCTGTGGCCCTGGAAAGCAGTCCAGGACGGCCCAAAGCTTTGGGAACCTGCACCCGCGTGGGAGACCCGGAAGAGGCTCCTGGCTTCGGATCGGCATAGTATCGGCCCGTTGCGCTCACTTGGGGAGTGAATCATCGGACAGAAGATCTTCCTCTCTGTCTCTCCTCTCTGTACATCCGCCTTTCCAATAAAAAAATTAATAAAAACAAATCTTTAAAAAAAAAAGTCAAAGAACTTCACGAACCCAAACATTTCTCCTCTTCCTCCTCCTTTTCGTCCCGCCCTCCCCCTTCTGGAGGAGTGTATTTATTTATTTGAGATGCAGAGTGACTGGACAGAGTCCATCCATCCACTGGGTCAGGTACCACAGCAAGGGCTGGGCAGGCCGGAGCGGGGAGCCCAGAACTCCAGCTGAGTCTCCCTCTCGGGTGACAAGGGTCATCCTCCGCTGCTTTCCCAAGTACCCCAGCAGGGAGCTGGGTCTCTAAACCCTGACAAGGGACCCGGCCTCACTGGCTGCGGCTTACCTGGCTGTGCCACAACGCAGGCCGCTCTCTGTCGTTCTCACAGATGCTTGCTTTCCGCTACCACTCCCCAAGTAACAGGAAAGCAGGGTCCTTCCCACGTCTTCCACGGAGTCCCCCAGGCGCCACGCTCCCCAGCGCTTCTCCAACAGCTCCAACAGCTCCAACAGCGCTTCTCCAACAGCTCAGAAAGCCGGATGCGCTACAGCCGGAGCCCAGCGGGTGTGCCGCCCGCAGAGGGCGCCATCCCCGGGCCGACCGACTGCGCTCACCAACTCGGGCTTCTGAGAAAAGCCCCCGTCTGCCGCAGCTGGCCGCCCAGTGGCGTGGTCCCCTCCGTCCCTGTCCGCTCTCTGCAGGTGCCAACCTGGCGCTGGGGCCGGGTGGGAGATCAGCCAGCCCCGACCGTGCAGGGGTGGTCTCCGCTAAGGTGCCTGCGGACTTCCCAGGCCCGGCTCCCCTCCTTCCGCCTTCACAGCAGGTGCGTCCTCCCCACCGCCAGCACACCCAGCTCTGCCCTCCTCCCACACCTGCTCGGCCTCTGGGACACTCCTGCGCCCTGGTCCAGTGGGAAGGCCCGTGTGCACAGTGAGCTGGCCAGGTGCGGCAGAGGCACGTTCCAGAACACAAAGCTAAAAGCCACAGGGCAGCCGTGGGCTCGAGGTGGGCCGGGGTCTCGCCCGTTGCAGTGGCCGTGCCAGGAGTGCTCAAGTCCTCTGCTCAGACCCACGACCTATGCTGTGACCACGTCGGGTTTTTTTTGGGGGGGGGAGGGTTGGTTTTTTGCGTCCTCTTTTTGCTGTGCACTCTGGTTTGTTAGCGTTGTGCCTTTTACTTAAAAAGCATTTTAAGTACAGGCACCAACAGGGCATAAAGAAGTAGCAAAGTTTATTCAGAAGGCAGAAACAGAAAGTAACCATGTAACACACAGCAAAAGGGTAAGGGAGAGATTGAGACATTGAGTCTAAGGGAAACGATGGTTGCCTTTTTCTGAGTCGGCCTCAGGATGGAGAGAAGAAACTGCGCCTGAGTTGCACAAAGCCCAGAAGCCCCAAAAGGCCAAAGGCCGAGCCCCTCGTTGCATGAGCTTTCAGAGGTAGGGCCGGACGGGGAGTGACCATGGTACAGCCTTGCTCCTCGCCCTAGTTCCAAGTAATGATGGGTAGGCACAGACTGATGTGAGTGGGTAAAAATTATTACACAGGCAGGGGAGGTGTGGCTTCCAGACTCAACGCCCTAAACTGCCTGCCTAGACCATAGCACCTCTGCTGGGAGCCCGGATTTCGGGGAACAGCCCCACCGGAACCTAGAGCCAGTGCTGGGCACACACATGGCCCGTTCTAGCTCCCCGAGCTCACAGACTCCTACCAGCCGTGTGCTGGCTTTCAGAGTGTGGCCTCGCTGT